AAGACTTATTTGAATAAGATCAGACACAAAAACTAATGATTTATTGATGAAGACAAGAGTTATTCTATTTATACTAAGTTCTGAATGCCAAAGTAGCAATTTATCTTGTACAACGCTTATCACATCTGGTGAACCTCAGTATTTAGATAGCTGAGATGCACTTCACTTATCATAGCTTGTCCATGTTGTTGCACAACACAGACATATCTACCCATCAAGAATACCTTAATCTTTATAGACAGTTGTAGCCCTTCTGGCACAACAAAAATCATTAATAGTGAGTTGAACCACCTTTGCTCTTGATGACAGCCTTGATTCGGGCAGGCATACTATCAATATATTTCTGGCACTCTTTTTCTGTTATTTTGTACCGCTGAATGTTAATACGCCGCTCTAATTCTTCTTTTGTAGAGGGCCTAGTGGGATACTTATTAAGATGAAGCTTTAGGAGATGCCAGACATGTTCAATGGGATTAAGATTGGGACTTTGAGGGGGCCAATCCATGATTTCGACTAGGTTAAACCCATTGTTGGTGAACCATTGTTTAGTAATGCCCGATGTATGCGGTGTTGCTCTGTCTTGTTGAAATCGCACATCAGATGGTGTCTTCCCAAAGTGCTCAAGAGTGTCGTTCAATGATGTCTTCGAAATATTGACATACAAGCCCGAGTTTATTGCGTCTTCAATAATGGTAGTACCATAACCAGGCCCCTCCGCTGTTATGCAACTCCAGAACATGACCCCACCGTCATTTCCCTGCAACTGAGACTTGACTTGATACGACTGCATGATTCGGCCACCATTCGTCCAGTAAAAAGAATTACCATCTGAGCCCCAAAGGTTTATTCTTGTTTCATCCGAAAACACCCAACGACGCCAATCAGCAATAGTAAGATGCCTATGCTTTTTAGCCCACACCAATCGAAGCCGCTTGTTTGTCTTGCTAACAAAATTGGTCTTTACTTTTCTACGAGATTTAAGTCCATTTCGTCTCAATGACTTGCGGATGCCATTAATTGACATATCATGGCCCATCGATCTTAAAATTTCTTGTGCTGCTCGGGGATTATCTAAAGCACCTGATCGAAGTCCTCTTGACACTAGGGACATAATTTTAGCATCAAGTTTTTTCGGTCTTCCGCCAAGAGGTCTAGCTGGGTCAGGGCAATATACTTTTCTGAGCCTTGTAAGGGTAGAGTTACCCACTCCTGGATAAAAATTCTTTATCTTTGAGAGCGAAAGACCACGTTGGAGCAAAGATTGGAGAATGTTGCGCAAATCTTGTGTTAAACGAGCAGGCAAAATGAAAGTTTTGAAAAAAAATAAGAAAGCAAAGAAATAAAGAAAAAACATGAAGAAACTAGCTTCTTTTACACTTTTAGAGTGCTCCCGGGATATTAAATATCCTGAGCATACCGCGGGTAGTTTTTTAGATTTCTTCAATACGTCTATTGGAAGTAAAGATATCAACCATTTTATATCATCTAGAATTACCCACCTAACAATTTTGCCACGTCTCACTTTAGCTGGTTATACTGGGATTAAAATATAGTCTAGCCATAAGGTTTTTATGTTGCTGTAATCCCTATAGGCTGTTCTATCGAACGCAGTATGGGGTAGCTTTGTTTTCTGAGTTTTGGCAATATACTGGGTAAAAGTCAAGATTATTTGAACGAACGGGACAGTTTTTCCCCCTACAGTATTTATACTAATTGACTTGTGTAACAAAAGATGTAAATAGTTACGACAGGTGCATGCTGGATTTATTTTTAGCGCTTAATTAGTGTCAGATACACACAGACCTGCAGTTGCTTATTCTTTTGTATACATTTACCCATATATATTCTAAAATTTTTATCAATACATACGACAATTGCACCAATGATGGTAATTTAAACAATATAATCAGCTTCTAAGGGCCTACAGGATCTAATAATGCCAATAAAGTATGCATTTATATAATAATTTAAAAAGTTTTACTAGCACCATCTATTCAAAATTAACCGTTCTTTAAAATCTCCATTTTCTCAAAAACCATGCTACCTACGTAGATTTAAATTGCGCCATCGTATTCTACGCAAAAAACTGTTATAGGAACATGCTAGTCTCAAGGCTCTAGCATCAATATTTTGAAAATCGATTTTCGATCGTCCAAAAGTTGAAAACCTCAAAATTAAAAAAACATTTTGTACATCCAGGTCCTCGTAGGTAAAAAAATTAGAATCTCGTCAAACTTAAATATGTTGTAGAATAATAATATTGGAGCAAATCCTAAGTGGAAACATTATATTGGAAATGCATACTTCATGAGATAATCGACATTGGAGATGCTATTTTTAAGCGGGGGAATATACATATTTTATATTGGAAAAGTTATTATTCTTGAATAAAGCAAGCTACAGTTGTCTAGTCTTGACAACAAGATTCTTCAACATGTCAGGTATCTATTGATAACTTGAGACCAGCAAGTTAATATGGCCCTTTTCGTACGCTCCGATTTTTAAAATGCTTGGTCAAATTCATACATGTGCCGTATACACATGCAAAGGCTAAACGGAGATTCAATTTCTATTATTCTGAATGATGATCCATGGGATTCCGAAATCTATCAACCTTAAAATTACGCGTTTCTTGATAATAAACACCCCTTCAAACGTATATAAAGCTTGTAGAAAATTCAAAGGAGAATACAATGATATTTGTTTCAAGTCTCTGCGGTACATTGTTCACCTGATATTTGATACGATTGTTTTTGCGATTTTCTGACTGTTTTCAAAAGAATAATCAGTATCTGTCATCAAAACATTTTGTTAAGCATTACTAGGCATCGTAGACTAAAAAAATTCCTATCGAATGAGTTATTGCTTGAAGCTCTGGCATCACTCTATCATGAAATATTGTCATTCTTGTCCTGACCAAAAAATCGTCACCAGATTTTTTACTTGCTATCACACGTAGATTTTGAAGAAAAATCAATGATTTTGCACGATACCCTTTTTTGGCCGTACCTCGACAAATACTAACCGGATTCGCACAAGACAGAAACCATTCGATAGCTCTACATTATGTCCATTATGCTATAAGAATTTCAAGTACCAGATGTACGTTTCCTTCATAAATTTGCTCAAAGTCATATATTTTATGAGCTACAAGCAGGGTATATTCAACTTTTTACTTATTTATCTATAATAACCATACCATCGTATAAAGAATTGAAAAATAAACAAAAGCTACTATGCTTGAAGCTCTCGTTCACTTAGTAGAATCCAGACGTATGGCCCTTTGAAAATTGGTCCTCTGGAACATTTTCCGTCATTACTCATCGACATCGCCGCCCTCAGTTGTTTAGAATAACGAAATATAGACAGAGTAAATACAATTAGAACTGAATATATTTATTATGTTATTCCAAGATTGAATAGGGATCAAAACTAGTGTAGATATCAAAGGTATTTATAGTTATTTGACAACAGTGCCGCAGCAATAGGACCTTGATCTTGAATGCGAGATAATTGTATAAGCCTTGAACCAGTAACGAGGATGTGCTGCATCAGAACTCATGAACCACCAGTCAAGGATAAACAACAAAAATGATCCAGGATAGAATGGTATTTCTAGTAGATTTGACGGAAGAACATTTGTCGGAATTGAAACCCACTTCCCGGGACGAAAGGCCATAGGCTACCACTCTCTAGGAACCAGGATATAGATTAGCCATTTGATGGCACCACTCATGTTCCTTCGTGCTGCTTGAATAAAGACCTCTCACTTCTACTATGCATCTCAGCTCATTCTCAGATCCTCTTATGTAATAAACGACGCTTAATACATTTGCCACTCAGAGATGATCTATATCCTCAACATCAGTAACCCCACATTAAACATGTCCTAGTCAAAAAAACCACCCTCTACAACTTTCACTACACATACATCCCATATTCATATAATAACTTAAAAACTTTTACTAGCAGCATCTATTCAAAATTAACCGTTCTCTAAAATCTCCATTTTCTCAACAACCATGCTACCTACGTAGATTTGAATTGCACCATCGTATTCTACGCAATAGCGGGGTCTCAAATCGACAAACTCCGAAATCGGGATTTGAAATAATTGAAATGACTCTTTTGCTTCTCGAAATTGCCATATGGAGATGATGTACCGTCTAACATATTAAGGTCTCACACAGTATATGTAAGGTTTTGTTAAAAGATTTTGAAGCATGGCACGTACAATTTACAGGTCACTGATTTACGGAAAACTATACTTTCGTGTTATACTTTAAGCTGTACGATATGCTTTAGAACTTAGGTAATATTACGTATACAAGTGCTTCTAATAATAAATGCATTAGTTTTTATCAGTAGTAGTAATACATACGGAGCTCGCTAGGGGAAAAGCTGGGATTTCCTCTGTCATTGTTGATTTGACAAAGAGCAGCTTAAAATTGAACTTGTAGTAAAATGTATACGATGCAAGGGATGTGGAGCTTTTCGTTCCTTTATTACTAAAACCCAAGCAGTGAGAGCTAATGTATAAAGATTGATGTGCCAGCCAGTAGTAGCTGATTAAGGAATCTTCAATGTATCATATTATATGCTTTATTGGTATTGTTGCCATAGGTTATAATTCAACAATGCTCTTTTGTAGAGGATGCCGTAAGGTATCATCAATGTTGGTCTGAATGATCCTTAATCTGTCGTGTCAAGTGTCTGGCATCTGTTATTGAATATTACACATAATAGCGATAAACGTCAAGTACTGAGTGCTAGATTACATCAGATAATTCAATCAAAAAACGTATGTAATTCAATTTGAAAGTTTTATTTGATTTCATTATGGATTATTTACATGCTTCTCTGTTTCCAAATTTTGAACGCAACAAAGCTGCAATTAGTCCCTTGTCATTGCTTCAACTTGGGTATAAACAGATCACTAGCTTAAGGTAGAGCCGTACTGAAGGCAGATCAAAAACTATTGAAATACCTTAGCATGTTTATTACAATTTCATATTGACTGAATAGGATGATGGCCTCTTCTTGAAAAATCGACCACCAGTGATATAATTACCACGACATGAATTGATAACATCTTCAATATGCAGACCATACCAATCTCTTTCCGAGATGTTCATATTCCAAGCACTTTTCAAATCCGAATGACCAAATTTCTGCTTGAATACCCATACAAGTGGATAGACAATGATCCAAAGGCAAGATAATATCAGGGCCAACTTGACCCAACGATTATCCACCCATCGAGATATACTGAAATCAGTTTTAACCACAATCTCGTGATTCTCCATGACATATGTGATCTCAACATGCTCGTAAAATCCAGAATCACGGATAGCGCTGGTTAAGGCCCTCGACAATCCATTGTAATCCCAATCCACTTGCTTTGTCAGTTTGAGTTCCTTTAGCTTGTTTTTGGAATGACAATAATCATCGCACAGTTGTCGAAGCGTCTTTTGTTCTCCAGTTTTTGGGTTGGGTAAAATATAGATGCCCTGACACACATTTGAAATATTACTGCTACAATCAATGTCGAATTCAAAATCGTCAATGCGTCTTGTGGATGGCACACGCTCCTCAACAAGCTCTCCATCCTGGTTTCGAGTACTCTGTGAGACCCAAACAGTTTCTTCATGGTAGCCTAATAAGAGACTCGAGTTGTAGTGATCCATATACAGTGACACAGCAATATACACCTACCATAAAAATGAATCTTCATACGTGGTGGCTTGTTGTGTTGACACAAGAATTGGAGCAAGGCTTCACCATCTTGATTAATGTGTTTGTCTCTAGATATAATGCCATCTCGCACGATTTCATACTTGGCTCTGTAAAGAGAGTATCCAGGCGGTGCTGGTCTTCCACGAAATGGATCATCACCATTGTTGAAGTTTGTTTCGGTATCTGAAAGTAACGGTGCATTAGGTCTGTTGCTGTAATCATCCTGATCGAGCAGACCATAATCGCTTGTATTGTGAGGTATATTACTGTTGTTATCTGGCACTGGCATAGCCATCAGTGGCATGACGTTTGGATTGAAAGGCGGACTGGAGGCATCTAATACGTAGCCATCATAGTTGGGTTTATTGGGAGGAGGTGCAGGCTGGAAGGCAGTAGTAGCTGAAGGCACCAAAGCATCGTCATAGGAAGGAGGAGGAGGAGGCAAGAAAGAGTCTGATGTCGAGGGAGGCGCTGAAGGATTGGGAGGTAGAGATGAAGAGGAAGATGAAGCAGGTTCCTCTGTTGGGGGCGAAATGAATGAATAGTAGTAGTCGTGCTGTTGTTTCTTGGACATGATTTGTAAAGAGAGAAAAGATGGGAGATTGGAAAGCGTGTAACGCCAAGCATTTTATAACTTATTTTTTTTTTGCTGCGTAGATTTCTAAATGATTTATTTTTTGATTTGATACTATTTACAAGAGTGATATGGAGGTATGTCTATTGGGATGTCGATAATGATGAAGCAAATGATTCTAAAGAGTAGCCACTATGCCGTTTATTGCAGTGATTTTCTGTCAGTGTCTTGGCTTGATGGTAGTATTCACTGGCTAATGATTTATCGATTTGCCCGGTCAAGCCTAATGCATAAAAATCGCCCAATCTCTGTAGTGCTCTGGCATTGTTTAGCTCTGCTGCCTTTTTCCAGTAATCGAAAGCCTTGTTCATGTCATAGTCAGCGCCGATACCTTCTTCATAACACTGCGCTACAAGTACGATGGCATCTGATCCACCTGCTTCAACAATCTCCAACAACATTTGAAGCCCTGTTTCAGCATCTCGTCTTTTTCGACCCCATCCATTCAGCTGATACAAAGCAATCATGATGCGAGCACTAAAGTTGGCGCCGTCAGGTAAATTGTGCGCTGCACTTTCAAACCAAACAATCGCTTCTTCCCTCATATCATCCGCTTCTCTGATATCCTGTATTGTATCCGCAATCGTGTGCTTTAATTTGCCAATCGCCAGTTCGGAAAGGCCACCACAATTCAATCGATACGCTGATTCATACCACTGCAAGGCACGTTCACTGTTTTGTCCTAGTTCTTCTTTCAAATAGCCTTCTTCAAAATAATTGCCAACCATCAGGGCAGCAATAGGATCTCCTAGCCGAGCAGCTTCACAGTAGTAGGCAAACGCTACCTTGCGATTTTGCTCACACACCTCAATGCCATGTAAAGAAAAACCAGTATGTGATAAATTGCCCAACTCTCGCAAAGCCGCAGGAACATGTAATTGCTGAGCAGCTACTTTGAAAAGCTCGTAGCCATAGAGATGATCAGCGTCCTTGTACCACACGATACGTCCTAGTTCGTAAGTTGCCTTGGGATGTCCCTGCTCTGCTGCCTTGGAGAAATGCTTTTTTGCAACCGCTAAATTCACCTCCACATCAGCTATACCGTGCAAATGAAAGATACCCAACTGAAAGTGTGATTCGCGATGCTTGCCCTTTTCAGCTGCACTTTGGTACCATTGAAGCGCGTTGGTGTAGTCGTCTTCTAGTTCGCCATATATAACACCCAGTCTCCACATGGCGTCCACATTCTCAGACATGTGAACAGAGCGATGGTACCATTCTTTGGCCAAAGGTAGATTGACAGGCGTGCCTCTCCCCAACTCTAAGCATTGCCCAAGTATATAGAATGCGAGACCCAGGCCATCTCTTTTTGACTTTGTCTGTGCTTCTTGATTGCCAGTATTGACTACTGATCTCGTCTTTTGATCGACTGAATTCACCTCGCTATCCACAAGTTTTTGTAATTGCTCAAAGTTCCTGCTGTCATTGATATTCGATTCCAAGTCGAGTTGCTGCTCATTGCTCTCCGTAGACATCCCTTGAAAGCTGTATGATATCAGCATGACTTTTGCCTGTATATTGTCAAATTCCTCTACTGCCTTTTGGAACCATTGAATTGCTTCTTCATGTCGACCTATAGCACTACCCAGTATCTCACCCGCTTTCAACATGGCTTCCTCATGGTTGGCTTCGGCAGCACTTATGTAGTGCTGAAGGGCCTTGTCTAGATCTTTCTCGGGAATCACGTCGCCCAAGCCATGTTCGTAAGCTTGTCCCAATCGATACATGGCTTTAGCATCGCCTAATTGACTTGCTGTTTGCAGTAAACCCAAAATTTCGGCACCACCATCGTAATCTTCGTCCAGGAAGGACTGATCCATTTCTTCAGCCAACAGCACACATGCTAGTTCCCGCATACAACCAGCGTGTCCAGCCAAAACGCCTTGTTGAAATCGTCGACATATCTCTTGTGAGAGCACATCGTCTTGCTTGTCTGTTAGATGGATACCAATTTCATAAGCTGCATCACCATCGCCTTTATCAGCAGCATCTGATAGCCATTTCAAGCCTTCCACTGTGTCCTTGTCAACACCGTATCCATGCATGTACAAATAACCTAGGAAATACTTCATGCGCCGAGCTTGTATGCTAGCGTCTGCTGACAGTAGCTGGCCCATTCTTTCGAGACTTGGCTTCAGCATGTGCAAGTACATGAAGGCAGAGGCATAGTCCTTGTCATCCATGTGCCTATAGACGAGTCTACATAGGGAGCGTTCTTTGGCCCAGTGCTTGTACTGCTGTAGCTGGTCTTGTTGACAGCTTTCGTTTACGCAATCCATGTAGAATAAGATGGCATCATCCTTGTTGACGTCTGTTCCAATACCGTTCTCTGCACAGTAGCCAAGCAATTCGTGCACTTCACATAACTCGCCCAAATGCCTCATACTGTCCTGCTTAATGATGTCCAGTAGCCATGAATGCACTTTGGTTTGGTCCTGCTCGTTTCCATAATTCTCGAATATGACGATTTTAGCCGCTTCAATACGTGCTTTCTTGATAATGCTTGGCTGCGCTTCTTGAGATATCGCTAGTTCAGAGTAGATCAGCATGGTCTCGTCTATCTTTTCGTTTCTATAGTACAGATCTGCCAGATCGAGAACGGCACTAAGATGGAGTGAGAAAACTTAACATTGGATGTGTGGTGCATGTAACATACGGTGCATAACCTAGATCTTCCGCCTTTTTGAGACACATGACAGCCTTCCCGAAACTCGCAGGCACCACCATCTCATCTTCTGTATCATAATAGCCTTCATAAAATTTAGAAAGCTCGTGCCATGAAAGAGCATCATCTTTGTCTGCTGCTTGCTGGAAATAGTTGAATGCAATGCGGTACCGATCTAACGATGTGGCGCTGGTAGTAGTAGTCGATTCCAAATCAATTAAGCCGTTTTTATACATGGTTGCCATCTCACGTAATGCAGTTACATCTCCATGATCGATTGCTCTCTTTAGCCAACCAATAGCTGTCTTGATCGTTTCCTTGCTATCATCCAAACGCATCAACACGTTTGCTAATCTCACCATGGCCATAGGTAATTCCTCTGCTGCCAGCTCGTACCACTGCTTGGCCCTGTCAAGGTCCACTGGAATACCCAACCCATTTTCATAGTACATGCCTAGACTATATTGTGCTGTTTTGTGTCCTTGCTCAGCAGATTTAGTATACCAGGGAAACGCTGCATCGACATGCTTGGATACACCGATGCCATTCGACAGCATGTAGGCCGTTTGGAACTGACCATCCATGTCACCGGCTTCTGCAGCTTTTGTGTAGAGTGAAAATGCAAGGTCCAAATCCGGTTTGACAATCCATGACTCAAGACCATCAACCTCCTGTTGTACACCTTCTTCGTAACAAGCAGCTAACCAGTAGTGCGCATCGGGGTATCCATTAATAGACAGCGTTCTAAACTCCTCAAATGCCCACAACCGATCTTGCTTGACGCTGCCCCAGCCATTATAACGATACCGTGCCACCATCAGTCGAGCCAAGTTGCGTTGCGATACAAAGCCTACACTGAAGTCCAAAATAGAGATCTTTTGTTGTTTGTTTTTCAAAGTAGGCACATGCTTGGAAGCCGTTTCAAACCACTTGAAGGCTAACGCATGCTGTCCTGTACGCTGTAGTAGCTCTGCAAGTGAGAGTTGTGCAGCAAGCGATCCGGCTTTGGCTGCTTTCTCGTAAAGAGAGAGGGCAGAAGCCAAATTACTGGCTTGTGGTTGTTGACGTTGATTTGTCAAGAGCCCTAATGATCGTATATCACCTTGATTTGCTGCTTTTTCAAAAAGGCTGGTGGCCTTGATGTCGTCTTTTGGTGTGCCAATGCCTTCTGCATACATGAGACCCAAGGCGCGTTGTGCTGGAGCATAGCCTGCATCTGCAGACAGCGTCAAATGCTTTAATGCCAATCCAAAATCCTGCTCGAGGCCCAGGTCACCTAGTCTGTAATTGATGCCCACTAGGTAATGCGCTAAAGACAGGATAGATGTAGACGCATAGGGTGCATTGGCTGCTCTTGTGTAGTATTCAATGGTCTTTTTATCATCCTTTTCCACTAGTATGCCTTCTTCATGCAGAGCACCTAATCGAATCAACGCACTTGCGCTTTCCTGTCCAAAATCTGTTAGCGGCGTCTTGGTCCCATGTAGTACTGCGTTCTGTTCTTACTTGTTCAATTGCTTTGGATAGCCAGCTTAAGGCTCGATCTTTCAATGACTGATGGCCACTTGAAATGTCAATGAGCTTCTTGTCATCCACCACGACATCAATGTCATTGATCAATAAATTAGCCATTGCAGTTTGGGCCTCCGCAAAGCCTTGGTTTGCAGATCTCTCGTACCACATTTTGGATGTTTGCGTTGATTGTTTGACAAGTATGCCGTGTTCATAATAAAAGCCCATAATAAACTGAGCGTACTTGTTGCTATTGTTGGCTGCCAGCTTCATATAATGAAATGCCTTTTGATGGTCGGTAGCAATGCCTTGTCCATGAAACAACATCAATGCGATTCGATATTGAGCAAAATGGCTGTCTTTCCGGAGCTTATGAAAGTACTGGTAGGCATCGGCGTAGTCTTGCTGGTCATAGTAGTAGCATGCTAGTGGATAAAAGGCTTCTTTCTCGTCTTTCAATTGCAGTAATTCTCGGAATCCTTCGGCTACATTCATCTGGGTGCCAAAGCCGTAAATCTTACATTGTGCCACCCAAACGCGTGTAGGGATAGATTGTCGATTGACAAGGCTAGAGTATGATGTGTGTTCATTGGCGTTTGACATGGTGGCAGAAGAGGTAGATGTGGTGGAGGAAATGGTCGATGTTGGGTGTTTGAGGACATCTGCAATTCTTTGATTTGTCAAATGTGTCTTTAATAATTGATTGGTGGTTTCTGAAGCGTATAAATCTACAATGATGTTGCTGGTCGAATCGTTCTTGCTTGTAGAACTGCCCATTTTTCAAGAAAAGTGAAAGAAAGCGGAAAGAAGAACAAGAGAAGAGAGAAACTAATTTAATCATCTAAAGAAAAAAAAAGGTACCAAAAACCCTCATCTTGGCTTCCTGAAACAAAGTTAATACAGTAAGCAACTCTCCGCTTTTTCCAATTTCATACGAATGTCGTAACTTTGTGCGTGATTTGAATGCTAATTAAACAAAAATTGGAACTTTTGCTATGTCGTACAATGTGTCAATTGAACTCGATGCGCAATCTAGGCTTTACTGGAGCAAACGGTTCTGTTTCCAGCACGCAAACTTTATCGTGTACATGTCAGATCAGACCGCTCAGGGCCTTCCGTAATGGGCATCATGCATCGATAGGTATTGTAGAAACCAGGACGGAGCAATGTGTTACACTAGAATGAATTCCGTAACAGGATGTGCGGTAAAGGATATCCTCACCACATTATAAATGGGATCAGGCCTGGTTCCAAACATGTAAGGGCATCATCGCCGTATCACACCAGGGTAAATGTGACCTTTTGCCTCCAAATCCACAGCCATCACAATGCGCTTTTCAATAGACTTGGCAGAGAAAATTAACGCTGCAGCAATAGAAGCATGTTCTCGATGATAGCATGCCATTTCTGTGCTCTACCCAGTTGATTTGGATGGTAGAGACGTCTTCCAAGGCATCACTGTTTGAAATGCCGAAATTTCCATTAAATGTCTCTCAACCGAGATCATGGAAGCATTTAGCATGGATCGCATCAGCGCAACGTGGCTCACTAGGTTTGTACCATTTTGATATTTATGGACAATAAAGAAATCTGTTTTGGCAAGGCTTCAATGGCTAAACATTTGATCCATTCAGAGGGAAATGTGCAGACAGGATGCCTTACTCATTGGACCACATCAAAGCCTTTTCCCTAGTCACATTGGGAGGCAAAGGAATTAAGTAAACATCTCAACCGCAGTACGCTTTCAACTCTTCTTCTTCTTCTTCTTCTTCTTCATCACCAGCACTTTTTTTTTTAAAAAAAGAGAACACCCTTCTTCCACTTTTTTTTAAAAAAAAAAACTCTCTTCTGCCTAAAAAAAAGTTGTATAAACTTGTACATGTCATTGATTTGGAATCGAATATTCGAACAGAAAGACAGCATAGAGCAGCATCAATTACATCGTTTTTTAAAAGTTAAAAAGAAGCATCACACCCTTTCCTAAAATTTTATCCACTTCCACACAACATTCAACTCTATATAAAGAATACAACACTATTTCTTTATATCTTTGCAATATATCAATCGTAAATCTCTTTTCTCTTCTAAACAACACATTACTATCTCATCATGGCTGCTATTAACGTAAGACGTGACGTCCAAGACTCCTTTTACCGTTACAAGATGCCTCGTCTCACAGCAAAGGTAGGATGACTCAATAAGCAAGGGATCTAGCAAAAACTAACACCTCCCTTAGGTTGAAGGTAAAGGCAATGGTATCAAGACTGTCATCACCAACATGGCTGAAATCGCTCGTGCTTTATCCCGTCCTCCTTCATGTAAGTTTCCAATGGAAAAATTTTTCATTCAAATCATCATTAAACTGACCTTCAATATGATGAATAATCCAGACCCTACCAAGTATTTCGGTTGTGAACTTGGTGCTCAAGTGAAATGCGATGACAAGAATGAACGTTACATTGTAAACGGTGATCATGACGCCACCAAACTCCAAAACACACTCGATGGTTTCATCACCAAATACGTCTTGTGTCAATCTTGTAAGAACCCCGAAACGGATATCATTATCAAGAACGACGAAATCTTGATGGACTGCAAAGCATGTGGTGCTAGAAACAATGGCGATATGCGCCACAAGCTCTCTACTTTTATCGTAAAGAACCCTCCTGCCGTTGCCTCCAAAAATATGCGCAAGCAGCGTAAGGCTGCTACTGCTCAAGCCAACAACACTGGTGAAGATGCCGATAACAACAATTCTCCTGAAGGCGATGATGGTTCTGACGATGATATCATTTCTCAACGTATTCAAAAGCAAGCTGCTGGCCTCAATATGGAGAGTAAATTAGCACTTGAGGATTGGTCCGAGGATACCAGTGAGGCCGCGGTTGCTCAACGTATGAAAGAACTCTCGGTCAAGGGCTCGGGTGCCTTTGCTGGTGGTGATGATGACGATGAGGAAGGTGGTGAAAACAAGTATGAGGCATTTGGTGTCTGGCTGTTGGATAACAAGGCTTCTTCTGACGATGCCATCATTGAAAAGGCCGAAGAGTTGGGTGTCCTTGGTAAATATAAGGCTTGCCAAGTGTTGATCCAAGGTGTCTTTGATGAAAACATCATCTCTCAAATCCCGAAGCGTGCCAAGTTGCTCGAAAAGTTTGTCACTGATGAAAAGTCTCAAAAGGCTACTTTGGGTGGTATTGAACGTCTTGTCGGTAACGATTTCAAGGATGCTCTTTTGAAGAAGGTCCCTACCATCTTGATGAAGTTGTATGACTTGGATATTATTGAAGATGAAGTCTATATCAAATGGGGTGAGAAGCCCTCCAAGCGTTATGTTGAACGTGATGTTTCCAAGGCTATCAAAAAGGCTGCTGCTCCCTTCTTGGAGTGGATCGAGAATGCCTCTGAAGAAGAGTCTTCTGATGAAGAGTCCGAGTAAACCGCTTTCATTTTAGTTAATTTTTTTTTTTGTTTTTCGTCATTTAACCCCAAGCCAATAAATTTCACATAATCCTTCATCATTTAAGATGTCAGAGCAATGTTCACGCAGATTCCTCTGCTAGGCCGACACAAATAATGAGCTTTTGTTTTGCATCATACTTGAGTTGTTGAGTGCCATCGATATGATATAAAACAAGAGCTAGCCGTTCAAGCTTCATACTGTCAGTCTCAGGTAGAGGTAAAGCGAGGTGAATTCCTGCACGAGAGAATTTGTTGATGAGTTGTTTAGATATGCGCGTTGACTGAATGGTGATTTGCTCTTCTGTCATATTGTAAGCTGGAAATAATAGCGAAGGTGTCGTGTATTCTGAAATGTCCAGTTTGATAGTATGTACGTTGGGATATTTGTAGCAAAGGTACTCGAAAACATCGCCAAAGGAGCATCCTCTGACCTCCAAGATGTTGAGACTCTCCGCAACTACTATACTGCTTGTTGTCCATTCTAAAAGTCGCTTTTCAGACATGATAAAGGCGCATTCTGTATCGAGCTCTATCTCAAGCTATTCCAAATGATTGAAATGATGTAGTGCTTCCTCAACATCGGCTACATTATTGATTTTGATCTTCAAATCAAGCACGACAAGGGCCTTGAAGTCTGGCAAATGTTTCATAATGTATTGTTGTTCAAGCCTGTGATTCAGGTCAGTAAGATAGAGAGCCATTGATTGCAAGCTTCGTTTGAATTTCAAAAGTGTGATAAAGTACATGAGCGTAAACTCTTGAGGTGTTGGCAATATTGTCAATCTATCAAAGCCAGATGTATCACTGAACGCATTGGAATTGATTTCAAGCAAGACATGTGACCCGCAGCCTTCCAGTCTTCCTTCAAATTTCTCCAATGTAGATGTAAAGACCAAATGCACTAGTTGGCTCATCAAGTAAACGTGAAAGTGTGCTCCGAGAAGCATCAAATGCTTGAACAAACCACCCCTTGCTGGGTCTCCATTCAAAAACTTGCACAGCTGCAACACATCACCATCATTCTCCAAAACAATGTGTTGTCCAAGTAGGGTAGCGTCTGCTTGAGAGTACCAGCATTTACAGACCAATCGACATTCTGCTAGTTGTGATTTTAAGTCAATGTAGCCAAATACTTTGATTAGTAATTCTTGAGGTAAACGGCTCCACATGTCACTTTTATAAAGGGAAAAGAGTCGAAAAGTGAAATTTGCAGTAGGTTATTTGTATTTTCCAGTATACATGACTGACAGCAATTAAACAGGTTCTTGATTAATGTACATATATCTTTTTCAGGCTTGAAAAGGACCACCTTGAAAATTGTAATGGACCGCCTACTGACTCCATACTTATGGCACTTGAGCGCAATATCAGGTATATTGATTCATAAAAGACAAAATGTTATACATCCGCATTTGTTTCTTTCCATGGCGACGTACATGCTTGAGACCTAGCTTTTCATTGTTCCACATTGTTCATATGTATATATGGAGATGTTGTTTGCCAATATTAGGCAGCTTTTTAGCATTGAGCAACGCACACGGCTCAAAAACCCTGTAATCGCTTTCAAAGACATGCTTGTGAGGTTCTGAGTAAATAAGAAGGACGACAGGCCCAGAATCATATCAGCGAGGATGCTCACATTTAACTCAACCCTCAAGTGAGATTGGAGATAACTGTTGGTGAAGGTAAGCGCACTCAGGATATGCCAACTGTCAGCGAGATTGCAGCCACCATTCCCAATGAATATTCTGAAAGTAGTTTAAAGATAACTTCATTACATACTGAAATAAATTCTTAGCCAGTGGCAATAGTCTTTTTAAACGAGTCAATGGAACGCGCACACTGCTTACATACCATGTTGAAATACTGCAAATCATGATTAGGGAGTTGCGATTAGATATATTTTGGCGGTGAGCTAGACTGACTGGCATTGTCAGATATGAAAGCACCAAAAAAAAATCAGGCTAAACGATAGTCCTTTCTAATTCATGTTCCTTGTTTAATCAGTATCGCAATCATCATTGTCATCTTCAGAAAGGCATGCTGATCAGCCAGCAGCGCCCAAACCATTTCAAGTTCCGATATACTTTTTCTGTTTAAGATTGGACAGATTTTGTGTTTTTTCGATTTCTTAAATCTATTCTGAGAGATTCGACTATAGAAGTTGTGCTAATCAGCCCATACTTCCTAATACAGTCCCTGGTGGTAGGGCGAAGTGGTAGAACTCCCGTATGCCAACGGGAGGATCCCGGTTCAAATCCTGGTGAACGCAAGTTGTTTGATTTTTTTGACGTAGTACTGATGTCCTCGTTTGGTGTTTTGTGCTCTTATCCATGATCTATATTTTGACGATTTCCGCAAGACTGTACTGGCTCTAGGAGTCGCACCTTATTAGTAGTAGATTTCTTTCCCAACTTAGTTCAAAAAATATCTTATTCCCCTTCTTTGCAGACATTGGGTCCACCAACAGTCTTTTCTATCCCTCAGCATGACATTTAAAGGACTTTAAATAAAACCTGGAGCTCGACTCCCCTACAAAAAAAAAAAAAATACTTCCTAATACAATGCCCCTGGTGGTAGGGCGAAGTGGTAGAACTCCCGTATGCCAACGGAAGGATCCCCGGTTCAAATCCTGGTGAACGCAAGTTGTTTGATTTTTTGACGTAGTACTGATGTCCTCGTTTGGTGTTTTGTACTCTTATCCATGATCTATATTTTGACGATTTCCGCAAGACTGTATTGGCTCTAGGAGTCGCACCTTATTAGTAGTAGATTTCTTTCCCAACTTAGTTCAAAAATATCTTATTCCCCTTCATTGCAGACATTGGGTCCACCAACAGTCTTTTCTATCCCTCAGTATGACATTTAAAGGACTTTAAATAAAACCTGGAGCTCGACTCCCTTACAAAAAAAAAACAAAAAAAAAAAAATACTTCCTAATATATTCTAGGAGTACTTTTCAAGGCGCTTCCAATGATACCAAGTAAAATGGATGTTTTGAATGAACTTAATAAGTAATTCCAGAAAATATGAAATAAGGTTTTTGGGCAAAATGTCGAAATTTTGCATATGAAGACTTAATAAAAGTGGTTTCAGAAGTTGCATTGGATTGAGAGAAATATTTTGATTCAATATATACCGTAGTAAAAGTCTTTGTTTTCAAGGCAAAAAATGCAATCGTTTGATTTTTGATGAAAACCATGAGGTATCCCTCATAATTTTTGGTCAATTTTTGGCAATTTTTTTTTTGGTCCCCAAAAAGTTGAGTAAAGGTGCCTGGAATTTATTACTACTTGAGTACAATTGTTTGGCGTTATTCCGGTGACTCAGAGAGGTTTACATGTCAAGATATTAAGGCCTGAAAGCTGTCGAATTTGGTTGTATTTCACACATATGCCTGCCAAGAGGCGCGTTTTTGTTATGGTACAAAGACGTAAAAGACATTGTATGCATTGATATAGTTTTAGAGTATGTTATTACATTAAAATATTCAGCTGGAAATAATAGGTTGAGTGGCACTTTTATATCGCTGTATCATAGTACAGTGATACAGCTTATTAGTGAGATGATGGCGGTTGTAAGGCGCGCTGGACATTACAGATGCTGAAATATGGTGGTCCATAACTCGGTAGCACAAATCACTAGGTGGTCCGTACCATATCCAATCTGTTTTCATCAAGTGGTCATATTGGATCAGTTGAATACGTCAATTATTAGATACACTTTTATTGCGTATTTGATGAGGGTGCTTCTTGAGCTACATTGAAGGCTGCGAGTTCAGATAATATGCACGCAATTAGAGCTGAGAATACACTGTTGATGTTAGTAGAGGTCGATAGTTCTGAAGCACCAGCAAGATACAAATAAGTCTAACATCAAAGAGTAACAGTGATTACTGCATTTCGGCTCTACCGTCACTACAAACTTGAAAGGTAATTTCTGAGGCTCTCCTTTATCTAACTCGAGGTTTTGACATTGTGCTCAAGGATGTAAACCCCTTGATAAGATGGAGCTAATCAACAAAATGTGCAAGCTGCATCTTTTAAGAAAGAGAAAGTTTATTTTTAATGCTTTTTTCTGTATCAATCACCACATGTCAAATCCAAATAAAAGAGGGAGAAAGTAACTATAATAATGTATAAAGAGAGTAGTAATAATAATAGTAGTAGTAGTAGTGTGTTACAATGTAATGGGTTCATTAAGGAAAGTAAATATATAGATGATATAATAAAAGGCCAATCTGCTTCTTTACATACGTTGATGATGAGAGTTTATGTCAACCTGATCAGGCTTATAATACTGATCCCCTATATGAATGTTAGCATTGGTGTTTGGATACTGTTGGTTGTATTGAGCCGTCATATCATAGCTTGGGTTGTGGCTGTGATTAGCGGTAGTGCCTGATGCAGGCATAGCTTGCTGTTGCTGCGTACTACCATCATAATAATAACCAGGTTCATCGTAATAACCACCACTGACTCCCAAATTTGAATCCTGAAGCTGTTGATAGTAGTATGGCTGTTGTTGTTGCTGTTGTTGCTGTTGTTGCTGACTGTAATCCATGGGAACGTTATTGTAATCGATGATTTGTTGTTGATGATTGGAAGCGCCATTTTCCAATTGAGACTGATAGACAGGCATAAACTGCTGTTGAGAGCTGTTGTAGGGATCATCTACTGAACTAGCGCCATGAAACGTGCCCTGATCATTCAAACGTGGAATAGTTGGCGATGTTGCTGCAGTCGTAGCAGCACCTAATGCAGGCGTCATTGCTGCAGATCCACCTCCAATGGCAGCTCCATTGGCAGCCAAGCTTACGGTCTGCATGCCAGGTGATCTCATATGAGGCTGATGGTTGTGAGGGAAATCAGTGTCTGCTAATCCATAATCCTCAAAATCTTCAGAACGCTTGTTACTGCGTCTTGCACATCCACCATGTCGATTGATCCAAGTCAATGCACCTCCAATCAACGCGACTCCGACTTAATAAGGAGGTAGTAAAAGGGTTAGAAATTGATAGAATAGAGATATAGGAGAGAGCAGGGAGAAAGTGAAGAGATTACTTACAAATACTACCAACGACTGCACCTACAATTGTGCCTGTCTTGGCACCAGAATCGTTGCTCTTGGAAGCATTGGATGCCACAGATTGATTGATTCCGTCCGTTGAAGAAGGTACACCAGAAGAAGGATCGACACTGTTGGATGCATCGTCTGTCGTCGATGTCGTCTTTCCAGATTTTGATTTTGTTCCCCCTGAGGAGGTGGATGTAGTCGATGTGGATTGAGTAGGTGGTGCAGGCATGTTGTTATTGTCGTTTGTGGTTGGCTTGTTTGATGTGGTTGCAGGTGTGTTGGGCGTTGCTGGAGGAGGATTGCTTGTAGTAGGCGGTGATGTGCTATTTTTCTCGGTCGAATCAACAGAGGGCTTTTGCGATGTTGTGGGCGCTACTGGCGTCTCTTTGGATGTGCTTTGAGTAGCTGGAGGTGGAGATGTCTCTTGATGCGAGGTGGTAGGCGGTGCGCTGGATGTTTGAGCAGGAGGCGGTGGTGGAGATGAGGATGAGGAAGTTGGCGGTGGAGGCGGTGCAGCAGCAGATGTATCTTTTGATGAAGATGGCGAAGACGATGAAGGAGGAGCAGGTTTTGGCTCTGTAATGCCCTCCAACACATGAGATACATTGTTTAGCAATTGTGGTTGAACAGAAGAGATTGTTTGAAATAGAATCAAAGCAAACAGTACTGAATGATAAAATGCGATCCTCATATTTATTCAGTGATAAAATAGTGAAGAGAGAGAGAGAGAGAGAGAGAGAGAGAAGGGCAATCAAGATGAACCTCTATTTCTAATGTGAAAAGATACAAAAAGTTGATTCAGGTACATATTTCTGCCATCTAATTAACTCGCAATTCCCTTTTCATTTTTCTAATTTTGGCTTCTTTAAAGACTCCTGCCTTTCCTCTTCCTTTTCCCGGTCTGTTTTACGAGGCACAAATGCTTGGCTAGCTCTATCAATGGACTGGCTCAAATCAACAGCACCCTGATGTTGCTGTCTGGTTCTACCTATGATGGCAATATTCTTTGTGCTAGGAATACGCAGATAGTCTTCTTCCACATGAAACCCGGCCTTGACAGCAATGTCTTTGATGTAGTCGGTGTAGGCTCTGTATTTGCCAACTGTTTCTGACAAGGGAAGCGATAATGAACGGGTGCCATCGAGACCATAAAAGCAGCAAGGGATTACCATAAATCTATTATTTTAGCGAAACGATGAATACAGTTGCTCCAACGCTAGAAAAAGAGTGCTCCTTACTTGCAATTATCTCCTGATTTAGATGCAATGATTGGAATCCTGCATTGAACATCAGTAAATAAGCATCTTGATTGAATCAAATAAGGATTTACCATGGCACTAGCTCGTCTGCATGGTTGCCAATCAACCACTCAGTGCCAGGATATGTCACTTTGGCTGGATACAGTGCTTCAACTAATCAAATGCAAAGTGAATAAGTGAAGTGCATTGAACATGGCCTCCTTCAATACCTCGTAATATGTCTTTTTTATGGCCGTTGATTTCACTCAATGCTGGCCATATTCTGCGATCTGCAATATCAATGCCATAACCCTCGTACCCCTCACTGGATAATAAAAACGTGAGCAAGCCATTTCCACAACCTAAATCAATGAACGTCTGCTTTCTGTGGTGGTGGCATCATGTCAGATATTGCAAGTGTCCATCTTATCAGCATCCAAGGCTTTACCTCTTGGTCTTTTTCTCTTCCTCCTTCCAAATACACAACAGGTAACTAGCAATGGCTAAGTCTTCATACACAAACTTTTTGGGGTCAGTTTTCTCAGTCCAGTTACTAATGAAGCACAGTAAATTAATGGTATTGTATAGTGCAGCACATATACAACTTACGCTACGAGATGAGGGCCATATTTCGCCTTGATGTATTGATACATGGACTGATACGTATCCTTGGGCACCAAGACGTCATGATGGGCTTTTTTCTTATAGCCTAATCGCTTTTGAATACACCATTTGAAGAGCTTGTGCAAGATGGTCTTGAGGGCATATTGCTATAGTTCTTTTTTTGTGAGTTTAAGCGTTGGTATGAGAAGGCCACAGCATTATATACCATTTTAGGGTCTGCTACAGATGGCTGAAGTGTATCTAATGGTATAATCTCTAGTCGCAATGTCCCTTGCTCCTCATCGTCATTTCTACATGTCCAAAATGGCTAATTAAATTCTCGTTTGGCATACACAGAAATGGTCATTTACTGTTCAAATGTGTCGCTACTGCCTAATTCATAGACAAAACTGTATGCTTTGACCTAAATAGCAGTGCTGTTAGTGCTGATGATACATGCGTTTATGGCTTTATCTTGCTACTTTTGGATAGTAAAATGGCAATTTAGATTCTAATGGTTCGTAAATCACTCGAGCCTCCTTATCTTTTTGTTTCGTTGATTTGATTTAGATTATTCTTTTAGCATGTACATTGATCAATTTACAAATTTACCACTCTCAAAATATTCAACTTTCTCTGCTAGATTAGCATCTTTTGATTTGCGTTTCGGTATCAATTCTCTTATAATGGTATCCATGGGCGTATCAGAGGCACTGTCATGATCATGGTCATGGTTTGATTCTGAGCCACTGGACTTGATCTCTGCTTTTTCAATGGGTGGAATGACAAATTGTGGCTCTAATGTCCAACGTCTCTAAATTGCAGTGCATTAATTATGTGCGCATGTAAGCTAAAATGAGGTTCTCAAATTACAATTGTCTCCCAAAAAGCATCTCTAGTCGCTGGTACTACTTGGACTGCAATGACATACCAATCTGTTCTGAGCGAACTCTTTGGTTTCTCGAAGTAGAGTGTAGGCGCAAATTGTTGAAATAAAGACTGAGGATCTGCTACAACTGCTGCATTGGATTCATTGCTGATCTTGCCTTGTTGCTTGGACATAATAATATGTGAAGAGGTTCAAGAGCCCAAAGTTCAAGCAACAAACATGTTTGATATCAACAAGCCACCACAAATTATCCATTTCGTCTGATTGAAAGGGCGATTTCAGTCTATTTAATCTCTCTTTTTCAACAAAATGAGCAGCATACCCAAACAACAAATAGGAGAAGTCTATCGTGCAGTATCCAGCATTGTCTTGCGCCGACTTCCTCTGAAAGAAGCAACATCTTCAACCACAGATCTTAAAGATACATTCCGTAAACCCAATGAAATCTTATACTTGTTGGTCAAGAAACCTCGCAAACATCATGCATATCAATTTCCTCAGGGCGGACAAGATCCTGGTGAAACGGCATCCGAAGCTGCTCTCAGAGAACTAAGAGAAGAGTGTGGCTCCAATCTTAAAGTAAAACTGATAGACAAATCACCTGTAGGTGCCTATCAATACAATTTTCCACCCAAATTCAACCGATGGGATCATTCAGTGGGTGCCAGAGTAATAATGAGATGCAATGAGAGTTATTTTATTAGTCTAATCTATGTCTAGGTGTCCTTCTTTAGAGCAGACTGGCTGAATGGTCAATGTCAGCCTGACGGTAAAGAGATCATTGATTTTGCATGGCTCACCAAAGAGGAGCTTGCTGATTATATACATCCGGAATACAAGCAAGCCATAGACTCATTCTTGCAGTAATTTATGCTGTCCCTTTTCAGACCTTGATTCGCCTGTCATCTTGGCTGTTTTTGCACCAAATTGAATAGCTCTCTTCCAGTTCCTGCTAGCATTGACCAGACCCAATTCTCGAGCCACATGTCTCAATAAAATCTTTTCCCCAATACCTCTATTGTATCTTAGATCCATTTTGAGTTGAATGGGTTGCTGACATAACCAGTCGACAACATAAGTGCTTAGAAATGGGAATCGCACTTCCTTTCCATGGTCTGACATGATACGATCATCACGGCCAAGATTGCGAGTGGAGATTCTGTCTACGTCTAATTGAGTTTCCTGTATTAACCTCTCCCAGCAACCATGTCGATATGCTTCACGATGTCTCGAGTATCCTCCCAGTTGTTCGTCAGCACCTAATCCCGAAATAAGCACACGAGCATGGCTTTCATAGTCTACTGTGCGGCCATCCACACGCACAATGCCTTTTCCTCGCGATGCGAACCAAAATGCCATGGCGATACTCAGATCCATCACTGTATCCAAGGGAAACATTCTGTCAATGATGCGTTGTCGGTACTCCATGGCTTCTGGATACGGCACATTGATTTCCACAAAATTCCATGTTCGCTCAGGTGCAATGTGTCTCAATTCCTCCACACCCGCTTTGCCTGTGAGGCGGTCTGGTGTATCATAGATGGATCGCTTCTCTTGCTCGACTAGTTGCTTTTCTTCTGGTTCTCCTTCCAATTGACTCTTCTTGGGCTTTCTGTTCTTGGACTTTTTAGGAGGCTGTGTTTTCGCCTTCTCTGCCCGAGGATTCTCAAACGCGACGTTCAGCAGATCAATGGATTCTGACATTGGCAAATACTCGTTTGCTAGGGCAGCCAAACATATACAGTCCAGCCCTCCTGAAAACAAGATGGCAACTCGAGCCTGCCCTTTTGTACTAAGAATTTGAGTTAGTATATTGACGCAAGGTCATACAGCACAATTATCTTACTCTAAATAGGGTATATCAGCAACTCGTTTTTTGACAGACTCACCCAGCACAGATCTGAATTCTGCAATGGCTCTTTTCATATCTTGATCTATCACAGGTTCTGTGTCCGCATCTGCTCCCTCAATCACCTCCAGATCCGGTATCGTTGCATTCAATCTTGGAAAGGGAAAGCTCTGCCATTTGATGGCGTATCAGTAATTTGAACATCTCGCAACACGATCGCCATCTTACCAGTTTTCCTTCTCTCAACAGGTCCGGTTTATTGTTGTTTTGCATATATATCCAAGGGAACAATTGCAGCGGAATACTGCACGCTCTGGGCAGCTCAGTGTTCACTTGTTTATCTGCATTGGCGATATTGACATTGAGATCAATACAGTAAAAGCCATTTGCAGGCACTTCCTCCCAACTATCTGCATCCTCCTGATGTGTTTTTGCCTTTCCAACTGAGCTCAACATGAAAGCACCTGTCTCTGACCTCAACCACAACAGCGATCTGCGTCCAAGGCAATCACGGCCAAAATAAACTTTCCTTGTGGATGCTCTGTAGTACACAAATGCAAATGGTCCTTCAATGGATTGCAGTACTGATAGTATCTCGGTTTCGGTGGACGCTTTTTCCAGCGTATTCATCAAAACTTGCGTATCGTTCTCGCCACATGCTACCTATTCTTAATGTCATCAATATAAAACAGATCTAATTAGACAAATAGCACATACGTCAACTCCACCAAATATTTCACCATTCCAGCATAAGGTATTGCCAGTAGTTTGGTCACAGCGAGGCTGAGGCACAACGTCTGCTCCTCTCAAATGAAGCACAGTGGAATAGAATTGAAGATCCAAGTTGCCACCATTGCTGCAGTCGCAAACTTGTGCTTGGTAAAGGTTTTGTGAATCGGGTCCTTGAGAAACATGAGCAAGAATGGATCAATGATTGCGAATAGGTTATGCATGTGACCCTCAGCTACCTCTTCTCGTATTCAGTTCTTTCAAAATGTCCCATTCATTCTGATCAACAGGACGATCTGGAGTTGTTAATGAAAATAAAATACCACACATGAATGTAGAAAAGAAGGGTTGAGTCATGCTAAACAAAAATTTTATCATCCTTTTTCTTAGAACTCAGTTTTGGCGACTAACTCTGCAATGCTCATGGATAGTAGTAATCCTGAAAGTATACATTCGCAATGACTATCAAAATCTCTTCTTATTTGGGTGCTTTAGCAAGTATACCATAGCTTAGTCTGATTCTGGTCTGTGCTGTTTTGTTTTCCCTTTTTGAGTCTATTAGTAAATAAACGGTTGGCAATTAAGCCTTCATTTTTAGGCTGAATCTTTGATGATAAATACATATATCACCATAACTCTACATTGAGTGTATCTGGGATCATACATGCAACCGGTGTTGGGACAAACAGGTTCAACCACCAGGATTTTGTACATCATAAAAAGCTGCTTCCGCCCCATAATGAAGCCTCCAACTTGTATGACTGGATATGAATGACTTACATTCCGAGGTGATGGATTAATAAGAGTAGTTCATGATATATGCATGGAATGATACCATCTTTGCCATAGAAACGATTGATCTGCCTGTAAGAGATGGCGAATTTAAGCTATATCTTTGCTAAGCTTGCATAAACCAATAATGTCAGATGGAAAAAACGGATCGGATAATCGCCGTTTCACGTTTATCCGTATTTTATGCATTGATGATTAATCAACATTTGGCCTTGTCGATCCAAAGTAGTAATATAAATAAGTGAGCATCTTCCTGCATAAATTTTCTTAATTCAACAAACAATTCAACTTCACTTATATATATATAAACAAACATGGTCAACGTTGCAATTATCGGTGCTAGTGGTAAAGCTGGACAAGCTGTCTTGAAGGAGTCTTTGGCGCGTGGCTTCAAGGTAACTGCTGTTGTCAGAGACAAGAGCAAGATCAGTCAAGATGTCCCTGTCATTGAAAAAACGGCCCAATCGCTGACTCAAGAGGATCTCAAGGAATTTGATGTGGTTGTCAATGCCTTTGGTGCTTCCGCTGGTCATGAAGATGATCATATTCAGGTCGGAAGAGTGCTCATCAATGCCCTCAAGAACACAAATTCCAGACTTATTGTCGTAGGTGGCGCTGGTAGCTTATACGTGGATGAAGAGAAGAAAATTCGTCTTTTGGAAACGGAAGCCTTCCCCAAGCAGTTCGTCCCTACTGCCACTGCTCAAAGTGAAAACTTGAATGAACTGCGTGCCTCTACAGACCTGAAATGGACTTTTATCAGTCCAGCTGCTTTCTTTGATCCCGAGGGTGCAAGAACTGGTGAATACAAGACGAGTGATGACAAGTTCATCTTGAACAGCAAGAACGAGAGTTACATTTCCTATGCTGATTATGCTATTGCTTTGGTAGATGAAATTGAACATCCCAAGCATCCCAATGCTAGATTTGCAGTTGTTTCTGTTTAAATGATTCTGTCCAAGTATAAAATAAAACGTATTTTTTACTGCAAAAAAAAAAAAAGAAACTCTTACAAATTTTATTGATGATGAAGCTAAAAATACATGTGTGCAAGTAGAGATGCTTTCTATTGAGAAAAGTAGCTCCAACCAGGAGAAGCCAACAAGTAAATCTTATCAGATCTTTTCATGATTAAAGACGAAACAGGGTTTGTGTATACAAACGACAGTTCATTGCCCATATTTTCGTCTGGAGCACGCAAAATGCCTAATGGAAGCACCTCATGATCCATGACGAGATTTTCAAACAAAAATGCAAAACTCTTGTCAATGAAACACGGCGGCATCACGGCTAATGTCAAATGGCGAGAGTTTTGGTACAGTTGAGAGCGGATTTTGGTACCGCATTTCAGAATGTGAGCAGTGTCTTTATCGTACAAGGGACCAGGCATGCCACAGAGTGCTTTGATGACAGACACGATGTCTGGCTTGTAATAGGTCTGGCTCAGCAACACGTTGCTCAGCAAGCTATCCACGACTACGTTACCAGCAGCATAAGCAGGCGTGTAGAATACATCGACCTCCTCAGCAACGTCCTTGCCTTGAAGCAGATGCATGAATCGAATATTGGATTTCTCAACTAGTTGGTGTGAGCAATAGGACTCGGTACTGGGCCACAGCTGTATATACCTTACCTAGATTTACAATGCGAGAGGAATCGTGAGGTTTATCTTGTAGCAAAAGGTCTAGTAAATGGCTTGTCATACTGTATTTTGATGTTAATATGACATACTCAATAGACATACAAATTGCTTACATTGCTGGACTGTCTGAGCTTCGTTGATATTGATCCAGACATTCTCGTTCACTGTGGATAAGCCGATTAGATACAGTATGCTTTCCTTAGATACCTATGCCAAGTTACCTCATGACTACCACTTGCTTTGCCTTCTTGACGCCTGCTTTGATGAGGTCTTCTGGGTGTTGACAGTCGCCCTAGGATAACATTAACATACTGACCCCATCTTTAAGAGCGTCGATACTTACAATCATAAAATAAACTTTAGGAAACCGAGATACTAAATCAAATGTTTTGGGACTTGGCAATGAAGTGCACAAAAAGACGATATCCTGAAGTTCATTTGGCTTTAATTGAGGTGATCTAAAAAAAAAAAAAAAAAAAAAAGGATGAGTCAAGCTAGACTGTATAGAAGCATACAAAATACCCTACCGAAGATTGTAGATAAACTTGAAGATATTAGACACTTTATGATGCATACAAACCAGTATATGGCCATTCATATTTTCGGCTGAATCAATAGTTAACTCAGGCAAAGTAGCAGATTTGGTGAGCAGGTAGCACACGGGCGATGTTTCCATCTCCACCTCTGAGTTGGTTATCGTTGGCAATTGACCTAATCGACTGATCAGTTTTCGACTTCCAGTCAATAAGGCCAATCGAGGCGTGGGCAGTTTGGATAATACAAATGCTTGTTGGCGTGGTGGTTGATGGACAGAGGAAGAGCGAGATCGATTGGATTCGTTGGAAGTAGAGTGGCGAAGATTAGGTGGAGATTGAGGTCTGGAGGGCGGCGGATATAGCATCATATCATTGCTAGCAAGCGCTGGTTGTGGTAATTCGAGATGAGCTACTTGATTGCTGTTATTGGCACATGTATTTTGCACTGGACAGTTGGGTGAAGCAGGAGCAGATGTCACTGTGTCATGCTCAATGCGATGTTGTAATTTGGCGCTGTTTCGTAGTGAGTGGAGCAGTTCATTACGAAGCGAGGACGATCTGGAGGTGGATGGGCATGGTGGATCTGAAGCTTTGGATGCCTTGATGTCAGCTTCGGCTTGTCTTCGTGCTTTCATATTGTCAACTTTAGCTCTGACGTAGTCGTATTTCTAGCATATAGTACATATGTGTCAATCAACAAAACGCCATCATTCACACACATATGCTTACCAGACTGTTTACATCTTCTACTTCTCTGGGGCTCTCACACATGTAAACACAGAGGTCACTAGGCTTGATAACGTAGTTGTTCTCTGGATTCAGCAGTATTTCACGATGCTCGCAATTCTGCAGCATGGTTTTGACACCAAACAAGATCACTTGGCATTCCGTATAGACAACCCAGGCTGCTTCTTTAAAGGTCAAGTTGATAAGCGCTTCTGGTGGTCTGTCCATGTAGATTTCGTTACAAGAACCATCGTCTAGAACCCCACTAGTCTGTGAGTTTCACGAGTTCTCAACAACCAAGCAAGATGAAACTTACCATATTGAGCTTGCCAAGATTCATGATACTGATCCATCGGCTTTCTTTGATGTAGTAAGTTTGTCAGTAGCGTGGAAGCACCTCTGCATCTGCAATTCATGGCTAGTAAGTACTGCTTGAATTCACGCACACAAATGATCTCTTTGGCCATTTTTTGATAGATAGCAGTAGATGGAGACAAGTTGTAGGTATAAATATTTACATTATGGCTTACAGTGTAACAATGTAAAGACCATAAACGAACTGTGTTTCTCTCATCTTCCTTGTGAGGGTCTGCTGCGTGTTGATCTGATAGTGTGAAGATAGCGGTTGCTGATCTTGCTTGCACTCTTTTCAGGGTCTGTTCGTCTAGTACCGATCCATGGATAAATTGAATGCGATGTCCCCACATGGAGTTTCTTTCCAGGAATTTGAGTTCTTCATTGGGCCTGTTAATGTCCAAGAATACCACATTCAAATGCGGTTCTGTGTTTTCCTGTATTGTGTGTCTCATGTTGGTTCAAGAAGATATATTGTTGCTTTGGTACACCTTACTGTATTCAAGAATCCGTCCAAAATTTCAGTTACTTGTTCAGGTCGAAAGACGCCAACGAGCAGAATGAATGGCATGTGTGATTCAGACACGTATCCTCCCCAATCTACATGAAATATATTAGCCATACGCCATATGCTTGGCTTTGATGGATTACCGTTTCTTTTACGAAGCGTGTTTAATGCATCAGCAAGCAAGCTGGGTAACACAGCCAATGAAATGACAATGAGTAACATCATCACCACTCTACTGCCCTCAGTATGAGGCGTAATATCTAATGTATCTACAGTAAGAAACATGCAGTCATCAATAGTCTGTCCACCAACTCACCTCCATAACCAACAGTTGATAATGTAACCATGACAACGTACAGTGATTCCAATATCGAGTAGTTGATGTTACCAAATGTCACTTCACAGTATTGAAATGCAGACATGCCATTGTACAATAATGCCACCAAGGTACCCACGAGATGCACTAACTTTGATTTCAGAGGGTCCACAGGCTTATCTGTCATCAGCAGATTGGTTTTGATTTTCAACACACTCTTGATTCGCAATAGTAAAACCCAACTTCTTAAGAAGTAAGGCACTATACATTAGATACTATGAGTTCATGCTTCCCAGCCATCCCTATTACTACCCATGTTACCGTATAGATATTGTCCATTATCAATGAAAAGCGATATAATGAACGGGTATGTCGTAAACACCTCAATCAAGGACCTGAAACTAAACATCACAGAGACGGGTCTTCCAGTCAAAAAGATCCGCATTACAAATGAACCCATATTCCATAAACTCAGTAATGTGCAACAGAACCACAGGTCATAGGATCTCCACTTGTACATCCAAGGCGGATGTGCATTGATATCAGCCTCTTGTTTCATCTCCACTAAATAAGCCAAGCACAGCAGCACATCTACTATCAAATCAATGTAAACCTAGTAAAGGGGGGGGGGGACATTTAGCAGGGAACAATTAGATCAATCATCCACTTACAAATAGTATGATACTACGATTGGCAAACAAGATTCTCTTTGCTTCAGAAACATAGCGATCGTATTTGAATATACTCTTCACTTTCTCAATACCAGTCAAGGGCAGATTCCCATTTCTAAATACAATTTAGGGTTTTGTTTGCTTTCAAAGTGAAAAACCTTGATTTACCTATCACGAATACGTGCATCTCGATAATTCTCTCTTATGTTACTTAGATTCACCTTGTACTTTCTTGATGTCCAACTATCCACTGGTTTTAATGGGGATGGCACATACTCTCTGACTTCATCCGCACTAATGATGGTTGTGTGTGTATGTCAGTTGAATGAAATGGTAATGTGTGCATAGAAAGTGATTTTACTTTGGGTCTAATTCGGGTATAATAAGGTCGGTGGATGGTATCTCGATTACATCGTTTGAATCATCTTCATCCTCAGATTGTCGAGCACTTCGAACGATATGCGATAAAGTGGATACTAGCTTGGGTCTTTTTGATCGATGATGTTTCTTGAGTCGCTTTTTTTTTCTGTTGGCTACATTTTCGTTTGAAATCATTTCTTCACTGCTATCATCAGAACCTGCAGGCTGTTGGAGCTCATCATAGTGCTTTGTGGATATGGAGGAGGCAGTGGTGGCACCGTAATGCGTATGTTGTTCAGAAATTAGATTGGATTCTTCATCTTCTACTGTAGATGAAAGCTCGACTTGATTTCTAAGTCTGCTTTCATGGGCCATACTATTACTAGATGGTTTTTTTTTTTTTGTTGTTGTTTAAAAGAGAGTGAAAAAAAAAAGATTAGCAAACTAAATCTGTGTAATATACTCTTTGAATCAGTTTGTTGCACCACTCTCACATTCATACCAAACTACACCAGTAAATTGCGACTGTCAACTCGGAAGGGATGAGTGCAAGAAAACAACGCGGCGGTTTAACTAGAGTTGGTTTGTGTAATGATATGACTCCACTATGATCGTAAACCCGAAATCCTTTGTCGTACAGGCTCTCTGTATCTTAGTGAGAGATGTTCCTGTTCGGATGTTACAGTAATCTTGAAAGCAGCAGATCGGGATCATAAGCCATGATGCACAATAAAGCGTTCATCCATATGAGGCGCAATCAAAGCCATCGTTAGTGAACGGACCAAATGTTGAACTACTTGTGTGATGCCTTTACATTTCAGAGCAGGGTTTTTTCTTGAAAACGAAAACTATCCAAACTCTATCTTTTTCTGTCAAAACTTGTGGCACATGGATTTGTAATAAAGGTTCTGTTGAAAAGAACAAGCCTTGCATTACACAGGTACCAGGTTTTTCGTCACTTTTATAAACTGCTATTAGATACATGGCTCTATTCTACTCTTTCAAGGCATGTATAGCTGTAGAGATTATAAGATCAGTATCAAAAAGGAAAGTCTCGGTATGCGTATATCAGTAAGGCTCACGCTCGAAGTATAATAGAATCTTGAATACAACAAATGATTTTGCATCTCGCATTTAGATTAAAATGCGCAACAAAACAAAAAAAATAGGAGGATATTGAACAACAGCGATCTTTTCAATTCGTAATCACCTTCTTGAGAGCTTTTATGAACATCGAATGTCTCTACAGTATAATATGAAAAGCGTTAACGTCGCCAGTAGCCAAAAAATATTTAATCTCCACTTATCGTTTTGATATGATTTGCTGAATTGCCAACTTTTCGAACATGATTCGACCTATTTTGACAGATTCGACTATGTAAATTGTGATAATCGTCTCATGCTTCCTAACGCATTCTTGGAGTACTTTTCAAGACGCATCCAATGGTGTCAACTAAAAAAGATGTTTAAAATACACTTATTGAGCAATATCTGAATATATAAAATGCCGTTTTTTGCGAAAATATAGATATTTTGCATACAAATATCTCAAAAAAGCGATTTCAACAGCTGCGCTGGATCGATAGAAACATTTTGGTTTCATATGTGCTATAGTAAAAGTCTTCATTTTTGAGGAAAAAAACGCGATCGTTTGATTTTTGGCAAAAATCATGAGGTATCCCTCACGCTTTTGAGTCGATTTTTGGTGATGTTTTTTCGGTTCGAAAAAGGTTGAGCAAAGGCGTTAGAAAGCATGTGCCAGATGAGAGCAATTGTTTGATACTATTCTGGCTGTCTAAAACTGCCTCTAACGCGAGAAAACACGGCTCAAAAGTATCCAAATTTTGCTGTTTTTTTTGCATATATGAGAATAGTCAGAGGCGATACTAGTATGCTGCCTGCTCGTACATGAATGGCTCCCGTTGCCACAGACGTAAAGCATCGTAAAAGAGTCAAATCTACAGCTCTAGGTTGGTTCTCATGATGGAAGACAGTTAGCGAGAGAAACTTTTATACATATCAAATATTACAACATTCCAATACACCTACCAAGCTGTTTATACTATAGCTTTTGCTAACGTACAGCAAGTACTGCGTGAGCACATCCCTTGAACTACCCATTTATGAGTTATCGGGTTCCATGGCTCCTACATTTGGTACATATAAATATACACACAGCCAGACAGTTTCCATCGTTTTGAAATGCTATATAAGCACCGGGTAATCGCATTAAATGAAAGCAATATAACCAAAAGACGTGAAATGACTCAAAATGGCATTGATTCAAGTTTGCAGATGTTCCAACTCTGATATGAAAAAGAGGTTGATCAAAGATCAGATACCATTTAATGTCTGTTTACGGTAATATTGCCCCAACTAGAGTTACCCAGGTCATGTTTCAAACTAACGGTGTTTTACATGAAGTTTTTTTTTTTTTTTTTTTTTTTTTTTTTTTTTTTTTGGGGGGGGGGCACTGAGATAATCTGATTGCTTAATAGTGGTAATTTTTAGTTGCTTTAAAGCAAGAGTGAATTCGATCATACTATATGTGAAATGTGGTAATTGTATATGGCCATAAACTTTTGCCATCGCCAAAAACGCGTTTGAATCAAGCAAAATGCAATGACATAAATACCATCTGTTGAAAGATTTATGTATTACGTTCCTTCACATCTGCAAGATTATAAATGAAACATCGAATAGAGTACATCATGCAAATTTAGTAATGGATCAGATAAGCATTTACCCGAAAGATCTGTATGATTTATTTAGGCAAATGAAATCGACGCAAATTACCAAAAGTGTATCAATCAATCTGAAATGATAAAACGAATAAAGTAGAGTTTATTAATGAAATGAATTAAAAAAAAGTTGACAAAGGCAACGAGGATAAATAATGTAACTAAAGAGGCATTTATGAATGCTTAATATTTTCCCTTGAAGGAAGTATTCGACATTTCAATCGCTTCATTGACATGACGATGGCCTGCCTCTTGGCTTAAGGAAGGTGTAATATCAGTAGATGTAGTAGCACGCGCAGTTTCTTCTTCGCCTACAATAACACCATCTTGATCAATATAGGCTTTGGCGTTCTCAAGAGCAGCATCACCATCGACTTCCCAATCACCGTTTTGAAGTTTGGCAATAGCAGCGCGTCTCTCTTTCCAGTTCATGTACACAAGAGCGAATGCAACAGCAATCCAGTAGAGACAGTAACTGACAATGGTACCAATAGTAGCTGTATTGTTCCAGCCAAGAATAGCATTAAAGATCTCCCAGCCACCGCTTGTATCCGTGTTGGCCTCTGGATCTCCCCAAGAAACATGCCATACAGCCGTAGTCATCTTGTAGCTAATCACATCAGCAGATTCGCCGCCAATTACTTTATTCCAGGCGTTTTGTTCAAAGTAACCTACAGCCTTTGCCATTAAACCAGCAGCCACGAGATACAAGATGATGGTAGAGATGATAAAAAACCAGCGCAAATGCAGCAGACTTCCACCGCGGTAAATGACCAAACCAACGGCACAGCCACAGAGAAACCCCATGATGGCAGCAATGGGGATTGACTTTGCCTGAACATCCAGAGATACACCACCAATAAATACAACGGCTTCAAGGCCTTCTCTCAGCACAGTGATGAATGGAAGAAAGAAGAACGAATACTTTTGCATCCAGGCCTTGAAGCCAATCTTTTCACCCTTGTCTTCCATGGTTTTTGCCAATTTGACTTTCCATTTCTCTTGCATTCTTTCAGTTCGAAGCATAGCCAGACCCATGACAGTGATCATAATAGTAGCAATCAGCGAAAAACAACCTTCCCAGATGTCTTCAGAATTTCCCCAGAGATCATTAAGCACAGTGTACCATACAGCAATGAATGCGGCGCCAATTGCGCAACAAATGAGTAGACCCAATGCAGCACCGACCCAGACTTGTTTGCGCAAACGCTTAAAGATGGTAGAATCAGGCTCAAAGACCTTTTTTAAGAAAGACAGTAAGACGGATACAATAATAGACGCTTCTGTCGTCTCGCGGAAGACGATGAAAAAGATGGGCACATTGAACAAATCTTGACCTCCCATTGTATAACAATAAAGTGAAAAAGAAAAGAGAAGAATGGAGAAGATAGCTGATTCGTTTAATGAAAACTTCAAGCAGTAGATGTACCTAACAAACCTAACTCCCAGTTGATTGTTTCAAATCACATCTATTGTGGATATGTCAGTGCTTATCAGATGTTTCAAAACGGAAAAAGATGGCATGATCTTATCTGTCAAATAGTTACACTGACCAATAACAAACCGCGGCTGCACAATAAGATGCCTGCAGTTGATTTTTATCAGATCGTTATTCTTCATTTAACAAGGTTCCTCTTCGGTTTTGCTGACTTGCTTAGAAACACTTGATCATGATTGACTGATCTATGAAATACAGACGGTACCCCCCCACTAACCCATCACAGTTTCACGGGATCTCTCTTTTGGCCAAAGATCTGATAAAATATCACATCTAAAATCCAACAGGCTTCCTTTTTCTTTCTTGTTATTCACTTTGATAACATTTCAGAAATGCAGGTGCTCTTGATTGTATTGATAGCTGCGATTTTGTTCAACTCAATCTATGCTGCCCGAGTCGTATACGACATGAACATTACTTATGTCAATGATGTGAACCCTGATGGTTTGCATTCTCGTCAGGTAGTTGGTATCAACAATCAATGGCCGTAAGTATGTCCAGCTTGATTTGTATATACTCTGTATTGACCAGTCTCTAGAATCCCTGCTATTAATGTCACTCGCGGTGATACTCTGGTCATGAATGTCCACAATAGCCTGAATGAGCCCACATCTCTGCATGCACATGGTCAATTTCAGAACGGCAGCAACTATATGGATGGGCCTGTGGGTGTAACTCAATGGCAAGCATATTTGCACTTGGCTTATTTTAGCAGTTACTCGATGCTAACATGTCTTTTAGTGCTATTCCTCCTAATTACGATCTTTCTTATGAATTCAACATCACTCAAAACGGCAGCTATTGGATACATAGTCATTACATGGCAAGTATTTTCATACATATACGAAATACATTGAATATTCAACATAGCAAATGTAGGGTCAATACATGGACGGTCTTCGCATGCCTTTGATTAACTCTGATCCTGATGATCCCTACATGGGTCAATATGACGAGGACCTCATTGTTACTCTCTCTGGTATGATTCCTGCCATTATCTCTCATGACATTGTCAAATTGATTTTTTTTATATGTGCTTAGATTGGTACCATGACAGCTCTTACGACAATTTGGCTAGTTTCATGACAGTATACAACCCTACAGGCGCTGAACCAGTGCCTCGTGAGTATCTACGTCCATTCATCTTCAATCCAATTGACTAACAAGTGTATGGTAGAGGCTGCATTGATCAATGACAATTACAACTCTTCCTTTTACTTTTCTCCTGAAAAAACATATCGTTTGCGAGTGATCAACATGGCTGGCTTTGCAACCTTCTATTTTGATATTGATGGCCATGACATGGACATCATTGAAGTTGATGGTGTAAGTGAATCCTCTACTTTTATTCTGTCTATGCGCTAATTTGAGATTCTACGTGTAGATCTACACTGAACGACAAACTGTGGATAGTCTCTATTTGGCCACAGCCCAACGCTACTCCGTACTTGTAACTGCAAAGAATACAACAGACTACAATTACTATATGCACGGCGACATGGATACTGTCATGTTTGACACGGTTCCAGATGATTTGAACCCTAGTAAGTCATCTAAGATATCAGCGAAATATACTTGTCTAAGCGAACTCTTCATTTTTAAGATGCCACTGCTTCCATTTACTATGATTCTTCTCATTCCAACTTTGCTCCTATCCGCAACATTGGTATGGCTAGTACGTTTGATGACTACACTGTTGTGCCCCTCTATGCTGAAGCAGCAGTTGATTACGATCACCAAGTCAATTTGACTATTGATTTCCAAGTGACTAACGATGGCATGAACCGTGGCATGTTCAACTACATTCCTTGGCTGCAGCCCAAAGTCCCAACTACAAACACTTTGTTCACTACTGGAGAGTATGCTCTCAACTCTACTGTTTATGGCCCTCAAACCAATGCCATTGTGCTAAATCATCTCGATATGGTTGAAGTTGTTTTGAACAATCTGGATTCCAACAACCATCCTTTCCATCTTCACGGCCATGTGTTCCAGGAAGTAGGCCGCGGTACTGGTGTCTTTGACGGCAATCGTTCCAATGTCGAGTGGTTCAACGAGAATCCCAGTCGTCGCGATACTATTCGCGTGGATGCTGAAGGGTTCTCTATTATTCGCTTCCGTGCAGATAACCCTGGTGCCTGGATTTTCCATTGTCATATTGATTGGCATTTGGAATCGGGCCTTGCCGTTATTTTTGTTGAGGCGCCTGATGTTGCTCAGGAACGCATGTCTCTGCCTCAAGCCTTTATCGATGTGTGCGAGGCTGGCGGGACCCCCGGTACTGGTAATGCTGCTGGAAAAGCTGCTCTTGATTTGAAAGGTGCACCTGATGGCATCTACATGCCTTATGATGGCTTCACTGCCAAGGGCAAAGGAGCCTTAGCCGCTTGTATCATTTCCTTCTTGATCGGTGCTGCTGCTATTGTGTGGTACTCTAATAACGATCCTGCAAGAACTACTCGCGATAGAATGGGTAGGCCACCTAGTCGCTAAGCTTGCCCACATTCTACCTTATATCAGCTACATTCTCTTAACTTTTAAAGATACGGTTTTATTTATCAATGCGTACGCGCATTAGAACTCTTATCATATAAAAGCAATCTTCACTATATACAAGCAACAGATTCGGGTTATCATTTCCATTGTTAATAAGCTTATCAGCAACACATCGCATCAAAATTTGCATGAATCAGCTTTACCGAAATCAATATGCCTCCTGTTCGAATTAGAAGCTGCAGAGGTTGCAGAACTGCCTTTCTAATAAATCGCAGCTACCAAAGATGTGATTCATGCCGTGTAAATAAAAGCCATAAAGCAATACATAACCAAATTTGACAGCTTTCAAGCCTTCATATCTTGACATGTAGACGTTTAGGAGCCACCAAAATGACACCAAATAATTGTACTTGAGTAGTAGTAACTTCCTGACACCTTTGCTCAAGTTTTTGGGGACCAAAAAAACATGGCCAAAAATCGACCAAAAAGCATGAGGGGTGCCTCATGGTTTTCACCAAAAATCAAACGATCGCATTTTTCACCTTGAAAACGAAGACTTTTACTATGGTATATCTTGAATCAAAATGTTTCTATCGATCCAAAGCAACCTCTGAAATCATCTTTGTGGGACTTTGATATGTAAAATTTCGACTTTTTGGCCAGAAACCTCTTTTCATATTTTCATAAATTATTTGATAAGTTTATTCAAATCATTTATTTTACTTGGTACCATTGGATGCGCCTTGAAAAATACTCCAAGAAAGCTTAAGAAAATAGAGGATGATCATTATATTCTACTTAGTTGAATCTGCAAAAATAGATCAATCAAGTCCAAAATTATCAAGATTTGTCCAATCTAGAACAGACTATGATTCTGGGCTTGAATTAATTTTGGCTTGTGGGGCCAGCTGGCAAACTCAACGCCCTTTTCATACTGCAATACAGTAGTAAATGCTCTTGAAGCGTATGAAAAGTAGGTGGCAGGCCATAAAGCTATCGCTTGTAATGACATTTTATTGCATTCTATATCGTTCATAATGACATTTTCTTGCATTCTCTATTTAAAAACGTTAGTCTGGACATTGACGATGCATGGGCTGCGTAAGATGTCTGCAGTAAGTAGTAAAATCTCTGGGGTTCCGAGATGTCGTTCAAATAAAACGTTGACAGCATTGAGCAGAGGAAAGAGGGTAGAGCTAACGGTGGTTTTTGTTGATTGATTGTAAAATCATTATTCTCATATGAGCCAGGCCAGACAGATGCCTTGAAACTCAAGTTCCATATTAGTAGGGTTGTAAAGTGTCTAAGGGCTGAACATTTATTATGTTATGATGATATTAATTCAAAATGTTTCTCTTGATCCATAGCAATCTCTGAAACCACATTTATGAGGTTTTCTTATGCAGAGTACGACTATTTTCGCTAAAAACCTCATTTCAAATTTTATTAAATTGCACCATAAGTTCAGTCAAAGTATTTAATACAATTAGTACCATTGTAAGCGCTTTGAAAAGTACTTCAAGAATGTAGTAGGAAGCGTAGGGTGATCATCACACTTTATATAGTCGAATATCACAAAAAGTTTAAAGAGGTCGAAAAAGGACGAAATCTGTCCAATCTTGAACACAAAAAAACCTGAGTTTGAATCAGTTTTGGCGGCGGCATTGCTGCTGGCTGACCTAAATGCCTTTCTGTTGATAACAATGATGATTGCGATGCTGATTAACTGGGGATCATGGAATTGAAAGGACAGTTGCTTAGTGCAAATAATTTTTTTTGGGATGCCTTGCCTCATGAAGGCGTCTTTTTCAATGACAATATCTCAAAAAAGTCACTGTAGATCTTACACACGTCCTGTATTTACGTATGGCCAGCTTTATGTCGCCATCTTATTAAGAGCATCAGCAGCAGTGAATGATATGCCAATTCTATTATCAGAAAATGGCGATTGTGATGTACAAATGCTGCATAAAACTTGAATTTTCTTTCATATCGTCTCTATAATAGGCTTCGTTTGATATCAGTAAAAGCAAAAAGGATGTTGAGGGAGATACCTCCTCTCCTCCTCCTCCAGGCTCTGACATAACTAATAGTGGATTGTTTAAAACCTACTTGATATACCAAAATTTTATTATATCTAATTTAACTGTCTTTGGCGAGAGCCCACGGGGCAACGCCGACATCGAGCGTAGCGAGGTAGATCGGCTAGTTTCATTATACTCGATTCAGTAATAAAAAGGCCTACAGATGCATTCTAATCACAAATTGTCGTTTGAATACAGCATAGGTGTGCTGATGCTTGCTAAGGCATTACACAAGGTAGGTATCCTCTGAAGGACTCACGTACATGTCATAAACCAGATAATATTCCCTTTTTTCAATCACACAGATCGAGAACGATACAGTGCCTATTGAGTATAATCGAGTTTGATAACTCTCAAGATCAAATAAACCAATAAACGCGGGATTTACCATCAGATTTTGGGGACACCGGTCAAAACAGAGAGATGTACAAGTCAACAATCAAGGAGATTTTATTATGAATCTTTCTCCAGATCGCGATTTCGCCATGGAATCAGTGATCGTCTCAACGTAAATTGTAAGCAAAAGCATTTTAGAACATTTTAGGCGCTTTACTTTACAGGGTTGCCACATGCAGCCATTCATGTGCGTAAAGGGGATATGTGCAAAATGCAAGATGATCCTTTTTTTTGATTTAGTTTTTGGGCCAAATGATAGCTTTTTTTTTTGTATATTTATTCAATATGTAAATAAAAAGGTATGTATAAAAAGCAAAACGAAGAGAAAAGATGAAAAAAAAAGTGTCCTTTGAATTTTTCATATCGAGTAAAAAAAGAGGATTGCATGAGCATGGTATATATGTAAATGAAAAAAATGATGGAGCAATCAGCTACTGTCCAACTTTGGCGGCAGAGTTGAGAGCAGTTTTTCTACAGTTGCCCCATTGAGATTTCAGATCATCGATCCAGGACAAGATGATATCGAGACGATCTTCTAGTGATTCGGTGGCCAATAGGTGATATCTATCTGCGTTGCTGACTGGCAGGACAACAGCAGCCCACCAACACATGGCGACAGCATTCTCGGCGGCAGGCAGAGTACCATGAAGACCTTGAACAGACTCGAGCCAGACGGGGCCCAGCAGACCTTCAATGGCACTACAGAACGATGTGGAGGGTGTGCTGTGAGCCAAGTCACTGATGAAGTCATGTATTCTGTTGGATAGCTTCATGGCTGGTGTGTAGATCACAGGCTCTGCGGGTGGAGACGAAGGCAGAGAGGGTGTGGTAGTCACCACATCCTCCATAGGGCTATCAGGTGAAGGCGGTAAACTGCCGCCATTCTTTGACAACTGTTTCACCATGGCTTGTTGTCGATGATCAATCCAATGCGTGTTTGAGCCTGACAGTAAGCCTTGCTCGTCTTCGAATTTCATCTCCAAATCAGCTTGCAAAAAGTCGTCTGTTTCTTTCAGAACGCTCGTAACTTGGAAGCGATCAAGGCCAACAACATCTACAACGAGGTCTTTGAATCTTTGTTCGACAGAGCTGATCTTTACCATGATGCCAAAGCGGCCCTTATGATTCGCCTTGTCTCTGCTCATAATAGCAAAGCAGAGCGATTGCAGTTCCTTGCAATTCAATAGAGAGTTGATGAAGAACGTGCGGTGTGGCTCGGAATAGATGGGGATACGAAGCTTTTGAGAAGGCAAGACGGCGAAATCAGTGAGGAGGATGGGGATGGCTTGGTAGGAGGTGTTGGATGACGGATCAAATGAAACTGACATGTTGCTGATGTGGTTTGCTGCAGAGACATTGTCCATTTGAGGTGCCTCATACTGACTGTATGCAAGCAGGACTTGTTGGAGGATGAAATTAGGGGGTTGGTGTTGGATGAATTGATAGCTGGGTAATCTCTTTTGACACTTTTTGCATGAATCATTGGAAATTTTGTATTGCAAGACACACAGCTTGCAGAAACTGTGTCCACAGTGCGACGTAATGGGATGTTGTAGCAAGTGGTTACCGATAGAGCACTGCAATGACTCGGTGATTTGCTGAGCGTCAGGGTGCTCGAGTTTGATGATCTGGCTGATGCAGTTGTCCAGGTATAGATTGGGCCCAAATAAATGTGTTTCCTTGTTGCATTGTTTGACGGGACACACAAATATCGATCTTTGGAATTCCTCTTGAGTTGGCAAGCAGTTCAAGCAAACAGTGAAACCGCACGATAATGTCACAGGATCTACTAATTGATGTTGACACACTGAGCAGTTCAATAAGAGAGACATGGTAGAGTGATGAGAGGAAAGAAAGAGGAATGTAACGCTCAATGGATTTTCAGATTTTAGGGTTTCTATTTATACTCGATTTCTACTAGTCGGCTTTCATCAAGATCTGGTAAGACACGATTGAAGTTCGATTCTCAGTTCTATTCATTTCAACGTCTTAATTCATGGATCTATAAAAGGTAACCCTCTTGTTTCACCACGCAGAGTATGATCCCTAGCTTTTTTTTTTTTTTATATACAGTCAAAGAAATCGGTATGACCATTTCTCTCCTATAGCGATTCGTATGTCTTCCAGATATACCACAATGTCCCCCCCAAGGATGCACTCCTATTCTCCAAAATCAAGGCTTAGTGCTAGGCGGCTTTGATCTGCCATTCTGTATCGCAAAATCTTTATGATTGGCTCTGAATAACATTTAGAATGGCAGTAGACCATGCTGTGTAGCGTTCATGGGCATCACCGTTGTACAGTGGATGAATGATTCTTTGCGAGCAATCGCATTTCGTCTATCACATTGGAGATGACTGGTCTCTCGGAAGTCATCCATCATAGGGAGTCTGCAAAGTCAGGCCATTGCACTGACCAAAAATGACCAATTTCCTCACGTTATGTGAATATGCCATAATGATGCTGGCTCTCTATTCCATTTGCACCCCCTTTTTGTGGTAAGCTCTTCCTTCCTAGTATGTTTGTGATCCAGATTTGAAGATTCAACATTTGCTCATCATTCCAAGAAAACATAGTTTCCACGGATCAAGCAATGTATGGAGGATGACAGCGTAGTTGGGTGCCTCTACTTGAGCTTTTACTGGTAACACTGCCCATACTACATACGCGTTTTGGTACTACTAGTAGCTATTATTTGATACTGCGAAGTTAGTGCAATTGTGATACTTCCACTCAACATTGGTAGAATATAATGATTTCATTGGGCTCTTGGTTTACCGAAACACACAGGTTTCTTTGTAAATTAAAATTTTCTTGCTCTTTTTTCCACCTGTTGAATGTATTAGAATGAATGCGAATAACTCCAAAAGAAAGACCATACTACCCTTACACATAGACACAACATCGTTTACAGGCGGCCAGACACAAAATAGCGTGTGGCGAAGACTCAACAAACGACAATTACCCATCTTTATCTTGCTAACGATCCTGTTCTTCAGTTTATTTCTAAACATCATCCAACACAACAAGCGAAACGCACCCACTTTCCAAGTACTCAGCTCCCACGACGCTTTACCTCCTATTCCACTGACTGAATATCACCACGCTATCATCGTAGCAGGACACGCTATCTACACTGGCCCTGATGCCATGGAGCAATTAACAAACGATAAAAACTGGATACTAGAACCGTATCAACAAGGCGGCCAAGTGAGTACATTTATACAGCACATCCAAAAGGGCATCGATGTGTTGAAGCAGGACGAAAAATCCGTCTTGATATTTTCCGGGTATGCCTTGCATGTTGGATTGGTATACCTCTAATTGACACTCTCTACTATTTGTAGTGGTGAAACAAGACCCAACGCTGGTCCAAGATCAGAGGCTTTTTCCTACTGGAATATCGCTCAATCATTATTACACCAAGACGATGGTCTATCAGTCGATTTGAAAGCAAGCATCAGCGAGAGAATGATCACTGAAGAATACGCCAAAGATTCGCATGAAAATTTGCTGTATTCCATCTGCCGTTTCTCTGAAATGACAGGCAACTACCCAAGTCAGATTTCCGTCGTTGGATTCGAGTTCAAAAGAAAGCGATTTGAGGATATACATAGATACTCGATAGGATACCCAGTTGAACAGTAAGTGGCTGTGCGAGCTATCAGTCATCGATTCCGTATTGACATGCAATGACACACCAGATTTCATTACATCGGTATTGATCCGACCGATGAGGATCCAGCCAGAGCAGAAGGAGAGTTGAACAATTCGGTCAGACCATTTGAAAAGGATTTATATGGCTGTCATGGCACATTAAAGCAAAAGAAGATGAATAGAAACCCATTCCGTAGAAGGTAAGCCTTAAGGGTGCCACTGATGTGCTGACAGTACCTCATTATGCCGAATTACATAGACATCCTTACGCTACCTCATGCCCCATCTTGGCTCCACTACTCAACTACTGTCCCTCCAACAATGCGCTCTACCATGGTCCTTTACCTTGGGCTTTATAAGCCAAGCATTCACAACAACAACATCCGCCTAGATATCATTTACATTTACATTACAAAATAATAGCAATAATTCTCAAATAGCAACCATGTCAAATCAGCAGAGATAAGCTTAAAATGGGATCAGAACAGAGACTGAGCACATGTAACCGAATTGCATCATTGTAGATAAATTGAGAAACTGGACAAACCCCGAGGCAGTTGCTTTTTTTTTTTTTTTTTTTCCCTCTTTTTCTTTTGTTTCTTCTTTAATACCACAACTATACACACACAATGGGAGCAGCTCTAAGTTGTCTTGCTTTGCCTGCTTTATCAACTGTAGGCACATGGATTACAGGTTGCTTTTCTGCTGCAGCTTGTTCACTCGCCTTTAAAAGGTAACATCTTCATTGTCAAGTCAAAGAATACAAAATGTACTGAATCGATGCTATAGTTGTAACTGTAATAACTCGATAGCCACCCGTATTGGTTATGCTGTAAGTCTTCATACCTACTCTGCACTGTAGTTGCGACACTGTCTAACAGATTGCACCGTAGATTATCTTTTTATTCAACTCGATTGTAAGCAAATATGACCACCAAGAAAAGCTTAAATAGTGTATTGATTTTTTTTTTTTTTTACCATAGCTTGCATGGCTGATGCTATCCAATTGGGCCATCAAGAAATTGGAACACCTTACATTGGATTACATGAAATTAGACTGTGCAGAGGGCAGTTGCTATGGTGTCATGGGGGTGCATCGAGTCTCCTTTGCGCTGGTCTTGTTTCATGCGATACTGGGCTGCTTGTTGATAGGTGTGCACGACAGTCGACAGAAGAGAGCAGCTATACAGAATGGATGGTGGGGACCCAAGATACTCGTGTGGATCATTTTGCTCGTCATTTCCTTCTTCATCCCCAGTGGGTTCTTTATGGTGTGGGGAAATTACTTTGCCCTGTTTGGAGCAGCTGTTTTCATTCTCTTTGGCTTGGTGCTGTTGGTGGATTTTGCTCATAGCTGGACAGAACGATGCATGGAAAACTACGAGATGAATGATTCGAATCTGTGGAAAAACATCTTGATTATCGGCACATTATTAATGTTTGCTGGTGCCATCACATTGACGGGAATCATGTATGGATTTTTTGCTACCAACGGTTGTTCCCTGAATCAGTTCTTTGTCACCTTGAATCTGGTCTTGTGTGTTTTGGTCACCTTGCTCTGTGTATCTCCTCGCATTCAAGAAGGCAACTCAAGGTCCGGTCTCTCTCAAGCGTCCATTGTTGTCATTTACTGCACATATCTTGTACTTTCTGCTGTTGCTAATGAGCCCAATGACAAGGAATGCAACCCTCTGCGTAAATCCATTGGCCCTCAAACCACATCGGTCGTCTTGGGCGCTGTGTTCACCTTCTTGGCTGTTGCTTACTCGACAAGTCGCGCAGCAACACAGGATGGTGCGTTCATTAGCAAGTCTGCAGGTAGGCCCAGACTCAATGACTATGAGCCCTTGGATACATCCAGCGCTGTTCCATTAATGGCTAACCAAGTAGAGGCCGGAGCTCAACGTATGAGTACTCAAGGCACTGCGAGAGAACATTTGATTGCAGCTGTGGAAGCAGGGTAAGTCTATCCATGTATTCATAGGATGATAGGCGTGACCTAATGCAGTGCTCTAGTGCTTTGCCTCGTTCGGTCTTGTATGAGGATGATGATGACGATGAAATGGATAGCAATGTCGATGATAAAGACGATGAGCGATTTGGATCTCTGTACAGCTACTCGTTCTTCCACTTTGTGTTCGCCATTGCTGCCATGTATGTGTCAATGGTTCTGACCAACTGGAACACAATTCAGTTCAAGGATGGTGTTGGCCATGACGGAGGCGATCTGGTCCGCATTGGACAAAGTTATACAGCTGTCTGGGTCAAGATTGTATCAGGATGGATCTGTCATCTCATCTACATGTGGTCTCTGATTGCACCTGTTTTGATGCCTGACAGGTTTGACGTATGTAGAGCACAGTGGTGATGTTGTTGTTGAGATGGACACTAACTCTTGTTATTATTCACTAGGATTATTAACCCAACAACATTATATTCTTTGTACACACACACACACACACACACACACCCATTCAACTATTTTTATTATTATACATAGGCTTACTAATAAATTTATATCAAAGATGATTAGCTATGAGACAGTTTGTAATCTAAATGTATAGGCGAAAAGGAAGTGATCATGTTCATTTGAGAAACAAGTTGGGTTTTGTTGGTCATCTTGGTAGATGGAGCATGAATCGGTTTGCTGATCAGCATCTGATTTTTCAGAGTCAGTGGCATTGATGTTAAATTGACACTCTCCTCTGTTTGTTGTTGTTGTTGCTGATGTTGTAGCACAAGACTTGCAGTGTAGTAAGATTTAATTATCTCGAATAAAGACCAGATGTAAGCCATTGTATCAGTGAAGCGAGAGATAGACAGAGAAAAAGAAAGAGTAGTGTATTCCCCATCTCAGCCGGCTTATAAGGAGATGCTTCTCATCAAGGTCTTGATAATATACAGAGTGTATCTCCCTGTTTCCATATACACAAACTGCTGTGGATAAACAACAATATAAACCAACTGCCTTCAAACCGGATTTTACCGTGAAAATCGGCTTCGTATCATCCATTACCCTTTTCACCCCCTTATTTTTTCTTGATCTCGTTTGGTAAAACAAATTACTCCTTAAAAAATTAATTCAATCATTCTTTCTATCAATTTATAAGCTCAAATGGCTGTGTGTGTGTGTGTGTGTGTGTGTGTGTGTGTGTGTGTGTGTGTGTGTGTGTGTGTGTGTGTGTGTAATCTGTCTCTCTCCTCCTACTCCTCGTATTTCCCCCTTTATATATATATATATATATATATCTTACTCTTACTAGTTGATTTCTTGCTTGTTTCTTTCCTTTTATTCGCATCTTTTTACTTTCAACTAACTCTATCATGCCACGACAAGCAATTGCAGAAGCTAAATTACGAAAATTGCTTGAATTAAATGACAAATTAAAAGAGCAATTGGAAATATCCCGCATACCTATTTCAGAAGCAAGTCGATCGTAAGATTATCCGTCACTGGAGTCATTGCCATGTCTCTTTACTAACCTCTCGTATCAGACTCATTGAATACTGTCAGACAAACCAAGATATGATGATACCATCGGTATGGGGAAATAGAAATCCTGATCCGTTCGCAGAACCCACAGCTGGATGTGGTTGCATTCTCATGTAAATTTAATTACCCAACTCTTTATCAATTTCACACTTTTTATAAAACAGGAACAATTTTATCAAATGGAATGTTGTGTATGTAGAATAGAGGGGCGTTTTTATTTGTACAAGTAGGAACAGGATGGTGGATGAAGCAATATACAATTAATGGTCAACATTATGAAGAGAGAGAGAAAGAGAGAGAGAAAGAGAGAGAGAGAGAGAGAGAGAGGTTCTAAAGGTGGTAACGTTCTTTATAGAGCGCAAAGGTATCCAGTACGTACGCATTGTGTGCAACAACCTTGTTGGCATGGCCCTTAGTTTCGTGTTGACACTCTTCTTCGTCTTCCTCCTCCTCATCTAGAATGGTCTGTGTTTTAGGTGATGGAAGACTGGATCCTCGAGAGGACGAAGATGATAGCATGTCGTTTTCAAGTCCAGGAATAGTCTCCATGTCAAGTGGTGATAGGATAACACCTCTTCTGCGAGAAATCGATGGATTGTGTTTTCTAAGGGGTCTGGGTTGCGGTTTGACGGGTTGCTCCACAGAGTTGGAGGATTCAGAGGAAGATGCTGTCAATACGCGAAACAATGACATGAGGGGTTGAGCACGCCTTTGCTCGGGTGTAGAGAAAGGTTGCAATGTAGGAGAGACAATACCAGCTTGTTCTTCTTGGTGTTCATCATCCTCGTCTAGCTTAAGCAATTTGCATAATCTGTAGTTGATGGCAGACACCCACAGTTCGAGTTCGGTTGCTGATTTGCACTCCATGGTCCAAATCTTCTTCTGATTTTTGGAGTGTTGAGCGTAGAGTGTGGGCTCTAATCGAAAGCTATAAGGATGGTTGGGCGAACTGGTCATGATGACTTTGGAGATGTCACCCAGATTGACAGTTCTTGAAGCAGCAACAGAATGCTCATCTTTGTAGTATCGCATTTCAGAATCGAGTAATACAAAGTATCGAGATTGCCATCTGGATGCACCGAATGCATTGGTACTTGTCAGCTTCTGCAGCCAGCCTGACAGTGGTGCTGTTGTGGAGGAATGCATGAAGGATGTTTGATAGAAAGGTAAAATAAACGAAAAAAACACACAATGTGAGATGAAATGGTGCTTGTATTTATATGCCAACTGAGTGATCTGGACCCCTTCTCCCTCTGTTTGGTGGTGGTGTTCATTGTAATAGTTTAATAAAACGCTTAATTAAGAGAACACCGACCTTGGCAACCATCGTGTTCCATATAGAGTGTCTTTCCTCATTCGAAGCCATTGAATTGATCTAAATAGAAGCATCCAAGCACTAATTTGAGTACGTATGCTATGATGCATCAGATGGAAGCAATTTCGTTCGATTGTATAAACTAACGTTTTAATATAAATGTTGTCTGCTCCCTCCCAAGAAGAAGTCTCTTGTTAGTAGACAGACAAAGATGATTCCAGCCCTCCCTGTTTTTCTGTGTTGCTCTCTGTCTTCTTTAATTAATTAGCCATATAGGGTAATATTATGTTGTCTTGGGATCCATTGCCCGGGCCATAAGTCTATAAGCCCATGATGGAGCCGGTCTATCGCCTCTCATTCTTCCAAGGATCTCCGTGTCCGCTAGGATAAGTACCAAATGTATTATGCTTGTTCCACACTTGCAAGACAAACCTAAAACTAGCGCTAAATCAATGATTAACATCATCTTGGCGCGAATGAAGATCACAACCATTGAGATAATTAACAGCGTCGGCTTGTATACATGCGCATCGTTTGTAGCCATGTCGTACAAGGAAGTGCGTTCATTTCTTCATTGTTCTTGCGACATGAATGATAAGGATAATAGGGGGAGGGGGGGCTGGACAATGATCGAAATGAACAATGAGCCCTTTCTCAACCCATACTGACACTAGAACGACGTGCCTTTGCGGTGGTTGCCACGGATTTCACATCTGTAACGTATACTGAATCAGTCCTTTGCATGTTGTAATCAGATGTTGAGTACTAGATGGCGAAAATGGACGGCAAAACGAAGTTTCGAGTACGCGACAGACCAAACAAGATTGCCGAGGCATTGTGCTACAGACAAATCTAAAAGACTGGCACTAAAAAGTTTTTTTTTTTTTAAATCGTAAATCACTTTTGGGTTTGTAGCACTATGCTAATCTCAAGGCCAATGGAACACTTTTCAGATGTTTGAGCAAAATGTCTGCCAAGGATGGCTCAGATGTATATCCCCGTTTCATTCGATAATGAAAACGCTCTACTGATCAATTGCTAGTTTTTTTTTTTTTCATAGGATAGATGCGATCATGCTCTTGCATATACATGGCCTGTTGATACTTTGAAAAGCAACGTTGGGTCTCCATCACTTGCCCCACCAGCTTGTGTAGGCCGTTGAGCAAATTTTCCAGTAGCATGCGCGATAGAGAGTGCCTCTGATGACAACCACTGAATAGAAGAATCTAAACTGATGAATCCACGAACCTAAGAGATGATAAAAAGGGAATGTTTATTTTACAATTATTATAAAGAGAGATGTAGGTATGTATATAGAAGGAAAAGAGTGTGCTATCAAAAGTGGGATGGTATTGAATGTTCATGTGCAAAGAGGCCACTTGAGTGGGAGATGGACTCAATACACCATGGCTGTTTGATTCACAAGGCTGGCAGCAGCCGTTCTTACAACAACTGTGTGGTTGTTATTATAACTCAAGCAAAAACCTTGATCGGGATCCTCGGATACCTTGTCAGTAGTCGGGTTCACACGCACCACATCACAAATAGCAAGGGATTGAGGATATGGACTCAGGAGTGCCAAGGGTCTATATTTGAGCACGCCTCTGACCACAAGCCCATAAGGGTACCGAATGATGCGAGACCTACGCAGTCCATTGTCAAAGGCCATTCTCTTCTCCATCTGCTATTCTATATACATACCATCGTTCATTGCCACTTTTGTCAGCACCAGGCGATTTAATACGAATTTGACTTATGGCAGTAACAGGATGCTTGGATATCAGGGAAGATGGAAACGACAGTGGCTCGTCAAAATGGTAAAAGCCTCCCAGATACTCTGCAGGATCCACACCGCGCGCAATGGGCGAAGGAATCAAGGAATTCATGGGAACTACCTGACTGAATGCAAACACACTAATATCTGCTTCGGCTACATGTACTGTCCAAATGTTTGAATTGATAGCGCTGATGTGCAAATCGAATATCAGTTCTTTATCAGATGACAATACACGGCTGATCTCGACAGTCAGTTCTTGCAATGGTTTTGCTAGATAGGTGATGGACAGAAATAGGATAATGACAAGCGATATTAAAAAGACCAAGCTATTCCGTATCAACCGAGAGCTTTTTGTTTTTGTTTTTGTGTTATTTTTTTTTTTCAGAGGGAATGTGCAGTTAGTATTGTTGTCATGCACTGCCCTTTTTTGTCTTTTTGAGTTTTACCTTGCATTTGTTTGTTTTCTATGATGCTGTTGTTGTTGTTGCTGCTGCTGTGATCTCCTTGTTGGATGTGTTGCCAGCAAATGCTGAGCCTCTTCATCATCCGTAGTGTATCCCGCGTCATTGCCGCCCAAACCATAGTTTGAATACATCTTACGTCGACTGCCACCTTGATATAGGGGAGGACTGTGCTTACCATCAAACCAATCTTTGGCTGTCTGCGTCGTCTGGTTATAGGGATGATCCATCACATAACTTCGAAGCTTTGGGCGTGCAAATTGTTCCTCTCGTTGTTGTTTGTAGATGGCTTTTGAGTCTGATTTGCTCTTGAACAGGATGGGACGCAGCAGATCGCCCAGAAAGCCGGATGAAGACTTTGTTGGCAACAGGTCCTGCTGAGGTGAGTTGTTGATGAAGGACCGCGCCGATTGAGGCCTGTACAGAGAGGACGATGTGGTGCGGTGAATGGTGTCTGTCGAGTTCATGTGATGGGTTGAATCCGTGTTATTGCCACTGTAAGGATACACATATTGCTCGTTTTCATCAGAGTCTGTCACACAATGGGGTTATAAGCAGAATGTTAATTTTACCATATATACACAACAAAACCTTCTACATTGGACACGGCATCCACTAGATTTCTATGAAACACTTCTGACGGTGTGGCTGTACCACTCATAGGTGGTAACTTTTTCCTCTTGATAGTGCTTCGGCGATCCTATAATAAGGTTACTTGATCATGTCATTTGAAATGCACTGTCAATTGATAGCTAATATTTACATCAGTGGCGGCTTTCATAGTGGCTACAGCAGTTGTGGGCTTGGTTGATTTAGTCATTAATGGGGTGCTCTGGCTTGGCATGGTGTTGATTGTAGGGGCAGTTGTAGTAGTAGGCGTTGAAGCGCCACTCAATGATTGAACAGTTGCCACAGCGGGTAGTGTGACAGAGGTAGTTAATGGTGGAGGGAGACTCGGATGTGTAGATGTATCTTGCTGTGAGTCGTCAATTGGAGGAGGTGTCTTTACTATCAGTGGCGCCAATGGAGTGATGGGTGTTGAATTGCTAGCAGTAGGAGGATGAGGAATATTAACCGAGCTAGTAGAATCAAAGCGAGCTTTTTCTACTGTGAGGTTCTTGTTGAAATCAGCGGTGGATACAGGCGCAATCTTCTTGTCTGCGTGAGTGGTTGTAGCATATTTTGGCAAGATGGGCCTCCTTTCCTGTGGTTGCCGCTGTGGCTCTTCTTCAGAACCTTCACCGTTGTTCACGGGCATATTAATTCTGCGCAATGAAAATCTAAGGAATGATGAATGTATATAGAGTGAGTGTGTCTAAAAGAGGGGAAGAGAAGAGAAGGAAAAAAAAAAAATGCAACAGTTTATTATTTATGCAAGAATTGAAGGTAGTGTATGTAGTATAATTTACATGTAGATGTTCACTGATTGAATAGGAACACTTTCAATGGACTCGTCTATAGGTATTTGAATCAATTGATTGAATGGACACAGCATGTCCGAGGCATCGTACTGGCTAGTGTCGTTTCTTGGCTCGCACGCACTAAATTTGCGTTGCAATGTGCGTCCCTTGCTGATCAGAGTAGCGATATCCGATGACTTGCCGTGTAAATCTAGCACAGGCAAATCTTGAGCATCCGGTAGTAAGGCTGGCAATGTGCGGCTCAGAGGCACATTGTACAATGAGTCGACTGATGGATACATGGCCTTTTGCTTCTTGTTCCAATTGATGTGCAGTGTCGAGTAGCTAGACTGACTGGAGGGATAGAGCATGACGTACCCACGCATGTAAATCATCTCATCAAAGTACTTTCTCCAAGAATTGATCCATCGGTTTGTTTTGGATACCGTCAGAAGGGAATCCTTGAACAGATGCTTGTTTCCAGACCCTCTTTTGACAATGGCCTGATCGGTCAATCGTGCAGTGATGTAGTCGTGAAATTCTCGCCAGTGTTGAGGGAAATAAAGAGCACCAGAACTGCAGGGCACTTGCATCAAATAAGGGGAGGCCGATGAGGAGGAGGTGGACTGCAATAAGAGGCGTCCAGATGGATCGGTATCTATGATGCGTGGTGAATAGAGACTGACACCAAAGATGTGTTTGTTTGTTGTTTGCTGCTGCGAATAACGGTACTTTAACAGGTTGTACTTTATCCAGATATAGAACGACCTTGATAGTTCCACGCGGTCATCTAGCATGACAGCATATTCGTGGTCGCTGGACGGATACCAAGCCTCTGCAAACACTTGCATTGGATGCACCGTTGATATACGATGACGAATCTGCTTGCTGCCAATGCTCCACTGCAGGTTATTTACAAATTTGCTGGTCAATCCATCACTCTTTTCGTCCATCAAGATGGATATGTCAACTTGATCTCCTAAATAGTCTGCATTCTTGATTGAATTAAATATCCGTTTGACCTGTGCTGATTTCTTGCTTCCAGAGGTGGTGATGATCAACTTGACTGACGGTGTATTCCAATCTAAATAACGCAGAGTTAGCTGGCTAGTGCTCTGACGCTCAAGGGCAATGCCTTACGTTTGAGTGTGGCAGGTGGCAATGTAGTCATCCAGGCCATGTCGGCATAGTGCTCAAAGGCAGGCAAGCGGATCATTGTTGCTGTGCCTGTTTCGTGCAAAATCCCCTGGTTATTCTCCTGATAGATGATAACCTGCACCTCCAATTGATTCACCATGGCGCCAAACTCTTTTCTGGAGGATACCATCTGACGCTGCACATTGGTCTTTTGTGCGGAGCATGCTGGAAGGTGAACTTGAGCTGAATGTGTCATCATGTATACCGTCTGTTGAGCCCCAAATTGACACATCAAAGCCTCCATTGCACTTGTCGGATGGTTCTCCATGTAAAATGCCATTGCACCATCCACATTCGTATCAGACAAAGAAGTGTCAACACAGCTGTTGGTCTTTCTATTCGCGTTTCCGACCAAAGCACCGTCGCTTGGTATCACAATGGATGGGATTTGCAATGTCTGGTATAAATTCAATGATACATCCCCTACTGGAGACGATGGAGACAACAACAATGCCAAGAACCACTCTCTGCGTAACACCCAAACATCTTGTATCAACTTTACGTAATGCGCGTTGTTTGTTTGCTGGCACTCGTTGCTGTTTTCAGTGCCGACAAGTGTATTTCTGAATGTTGCTGAATGTAATAGGCGAATTACAAACTCAATGTACTCTTTTCCAGGCAAGACGTGGTTGCTGTCCAGGAGAACTACAAAATCAGTAGCAATGTCGTGTTGCCGAACTTGACTGTACCAAGGTGTGGTATTATCTCTTGTCTTGACGACAGGTTGGATCACATTGGCGATACGGAATTGCTGCTCCTTCTCTTGTATAAGGTTGCTAATTGCAGGTCTTTCCTTTTCGGAACACACCATGTAGATGGTCGTTGGTGACATTGATTGACGTAATAGAGCATCCAATTGAGCAGTGGCAAGTGGCAGTGAATCATACTTTATAATGACAGTAGTACTGATGTTGGAAGGTATGGGTATCGTAAATACCATCTTGAGTTTGTCCAAATCATACGCTTGGAGGTCTAACGTTGTCGGAGTGCTTTGTAGTAGTGGTGGATTTTCAGGTTCAATCAAATTGTGCTGATATGATTGCACTAATGATGATGATGGCTATAAATAAACATGTTGGCATGTATTTTCTAGTATGCCTCGTACCTGAAAATAACGACTCTAGTAGTGTGTAGTTGGTCAGCTCTGTAGAATCCAGATACCTCACGTATGTCTCTCGTGCGCTCAATTGGAGAATGTGATACATCAACACCACAGTAACAAATGATCCCAAAGCACCCAATAGGCTGGATTTCATTCTAATAAACATTGTCTGCGTGTGTGTTTATGTGGATGGAAAGGAATGAATATGAGAGAAAAATTGAAAGGGATGTATAATATACAAATGATCAAAAGAAAGGGCAAAAGAAGAAGAAGAAAAGAGTTGATAGTAGACAGAGAAAATTAATAGAAATTATTCTAATATTTCGTGCGACATGGCTAGCTTAGATCGACAGTTAGAAAAAGGTTGGTACACGGAAAACGTGCTTGATTCCCTTTCTTTGTATCACAGAGATAATTAAATCGTTATCCATCTGAGATACACTTGTGCTCTACTGTCGTTCTGTCATATATATTGTATGGGCAGCCCGGATGTGATGCGAGATGAGGTCTATCCTATCACTGTCAGCTTATCAAGGAGAATATGACATACGGGGAGCTCAACACCAACCACACATTGGGCCAGGGTATCATTCTCAAACTGTCATTGACTCCATCTGAGGCCCGCGAGCTTACATTGACTTGACACCAATGCCATTCATACTTTTCGCGCCTTTCCATCAATGGTGCCCCTTTTGATGGCAATTTCACAGCTTGTATAAATACAAGCCAGCTCTCCATCAGATACCTAAGGGTTTTCAAATGAAAGCCTGCAGACCCAAGAATTCGCTTCAGGCCTTACTCGAATCTGTAGCATTAGCTCTCGTGGATTTGCAGTTCCCATTAGGTCAACCCTACCCAAATAGTCGAAAATCGATCTATCAAGGCTACCGTTTGCTACAGTGGGGCATATGAAATCCTTGTTGTGTATTGCTATCAACCATTCTACGCCCAAAGATCACTTACCAGCGTTGAGCACCGCATGGACGTCTCCGTGCTATTATTAAAAATAAACGTGTGTTTGCCACTGTCATCTCCAATTTGTAGGTAAAAAAAAAAATCGATTTTTAACATAAGACGTGAAAAAGGTGTTTCTCCCCCTCCTAGATGAGATGCGCATCATAGTTTAACACCTTGGCCAAACCACAACGAAGCTAGCTATAACCAAGCGGTTTTCAATACAGCGTTTCCCAACATTGCTTCCATTGATCTATTACTCGTAACCACTTGTAACCAACAGGTTCTCATAGGAACATGCTACTTTCAAAGCTCTAGCATCAATATTTCAAAATTCCATTTTGGATGGCCTCAGCCTCGAAATCGAAATCACTTTTGTTAGGATGTCTTTCTATCATCGCAGGTAGTACCCCAACACCAATGCCGCAAATGATACAACTGTAATTGCCTAACAGAATCACTGGGCTCATACAGCCAATTTCTTTGCAAGGAGATTGTGCAATCAAATAAATCTATAGCCCCCCTATGCATTTATGGCTGAGGAAAAGATATACTACTACTCCTTATAAAGGATACAATGTTGCACTATAGTTTTCAACAATTGGAAATATTGTCTGGTGGTGAGTTGTCCAGGATAATACTGTTGTAGCAGCAACGCAAACACTGTGTTGAAGTATTATTTATTATATAATTCTCCTTGCATAAATATATTATTTAAAGGACATTCCCCACGTCGAACTATTATGCAATGGATGCTAGATTAAACGCTTGCACCTTAGCATACACTTAAATAAAGAAGGCTTTAAATTGTATCTGTTTCGTTACCCTTTTATTACAAATATAAACTCATTATAGATGACAGCTCAATAGGAGATCAACTAGCTAAAATCCTTTGGTCCCTGTACCTCTGAGCCAATCAAATCGCTTGAAAACTCCGCTGACCTAAAAAAAAAAATTGCGAGAGTTTCCCCCTGTTTTGATGTGAGGCAAAATTTTAAGCGCCGCTAGGTATACCAAATCTAGCAGTGTGCGCTGTCATCAAACTTCCCCCAGGTGCTAGAGCATGCCTTACTTACATCACCTAGCTTAGAATTCTGGCGTTGAGACCCTCAATCATCACCAAAGTAAGTAGCGATAACCAAGTGGAGGCAGCCTATCTATCTCCTGGTGTCGGATAAAGTCTTGTTGAGCTTCAAGTGATAGGCACATCCACACAACGTAAAAAAAGTTATGCTTCAAAGAAACATAATAATAATAAAAGAAGAAAAGAACATACTACTATAGGAGTATTATAGTAGTACGTAGGCAAAAAAGGGATGCTCACACAAAGTGAGTCAAAGAAAAGTATAACAAACACAACATCAAAGACGTTCAGAACAGCTCGTTGTTGTCGCAACAAAAATCCATACATGAGCAACATGCATGGTAATAGTCGGATGTAAAGTAACACAACCAACAAAAGAAGAAGAAAAACGTTACAAAGTAAACATCATGAATGCATTATCATGAGAAAGGAAGCAACAATACAAACGTTCAAAGAAGTTTATATCATTGCGACCAGAAGAAAGAAGATACTTACCACTTATCACCACCGTCGATAATAAACCAGAAGAGGATACGCAATCACTTAATATAGACCAGAGAACGAGCATGTACCAAAGACAGTAGACCAAGAAAGACCATATTAGCAGCAGCAGCAGTAACACCAGCACCATAGACAAACCAAAAAAAAAAAAAAAAAAAAAAAAAAAAAAAAAAAAAAAAAAAACGAGCGACACCAGAGAACGAGCATGCACCAGACATAGTAGAGCAGGAAAAACCATATTAGCAGCAGCAGCAACAGCAGCAGCAGCAGCAGCACCAGCATCATAGATAAACCAAAGTACGAACACCACCAGCAGAGACCAGACAAAGACCAAAGAAGTCAATTACCACTTACCACCACCGTCGATAGACCAGAGAACGAGCAAGTACCAAAGACAGTAGACCTGGAAAGACCATATTAGCAGCAGTAACACCAGCATCATAGACAAACCAAAGTACAAACGCCGTCAGCAGAGACTAGACAAAGACCAAAGAAGTCAATTACCACTTACCACCACCGTAGATAGACCAGAGGATACACAATCACCGAATATAGACCAGAGAACGAGCATGAACCAAAGAGAGTAGACCAGGAAAGACCATATTACCACCACCACCAGCAGCAGCAGCAGTAACACCGGCACCATAAACAAACCAAAGTACGAACACCACCAGCAGAGACCAGACAAAGACCAAAGAAACAACCGCCAGACATGATAAACCAAAGACGCAGACAGCAGAGATACCAGAGAAGTAATGGCAGCAGTACTCACTCAAACAAGCAAAAAATCATTAAAACCTAATAAGCTCAATTAGTGTTAATTCTACGCCTTCCAGTGCTCGTTATCGAATAGTATCTAATATATTCCACTTTAAAGAAGCAGTATCAAGTTCTTCCAACAGTACAAGACAAAGTTATCGGAAGCTAGAGTGTTATTATCAGTCAAACGGTGTCCAAAACCACCATGGTTTGATACTAGAACGCGTTTTGCAAAAAGGGTAAAAATGGGGGCAGGGAAGAATGAGAGAGCACCCTATCCGACGTCACGACCAGTAGATTTAGTCTCAGTCTTGTACCGTAGCAGCCGTAATTGCGGTAGTTTAATTTGAAATTATGCAGTGGTATTTTCGTGTTCAAACTTGACTTGATCTCACATCCTTTAAACGTTTTTGCTAAATCTGACTATGAAAACTGTCGTTGTCACACCCAACTTTCTAATACATCTCTAAAGAACTAAAGAAGCCGCATCGAATGGTGCTAAGTACTCTCAGCTTTCAGACCAAAAATAATGAGCAATTTCCAAAAATATGAAAACAGGTTTTCTGTGAATATGTCAAAATTTAGCATATAAAAGTCTCATAGAAAGAGTTTCCAATGTTGCATTTCATCTTTACGATCAATTTGATCTAATATGTATTATAAGAAAAGTCTTTACTTTTGACGTGAGAAACGCTATCGTTTGATTTTCAAGAAGTTTCCCTTGCTAATACTCATGGAAAAACGATGATTTTCATGAATTTGCAACAACCCAAAAAAAAATTGAGATAAAGCATCAAGAAGTAAAGCGTGGCCAAGAGGAGGCGTGTGATGCTACTCCAAGCGCTCAAAACGCTTTGTGGCATGAGTTATTCGTGCTTGAAAATGGCTAGATTTGCACAGAATTCGACCTAAAACGACGGCGTAGTGGGCTGCGTTATCAGAAGAGTAAGTAAATTACACTTCTGTCTGATGACCCAGATGCTCTGTATTGTACATTATAAAATCTCTAGTATCACATCAACCCAAAGCGTGGAAAAGCTGTTCGCCCTTCGTGGTGAGATGCATATTATGGCTTAAAACCTTTGCCAAACAACCACAATGTTGCATACAAGCATGCATCTTGGGCTACAACATTCACTTTCTGCTCAAGCCACATTTACAGTATAGCAACATAGGTAATGTTTATCGTATTATATCACATCTATGTTTACAAGTCCAGTGAATTGTGTGTGTACGGATGTCTCAGGAACTACAATAGATTCAACCTCCCCAATGTCAAGATGTAGAGATCTACCTACACTACTACATGAAGTATTATATCGACTTATGTGGTCTCTCAACAATCTATACCGACAATCGATAAGACCCCAGTAGCCTGCTATCTATATAACATCTCAGCGTAGTAGTCATTGACCAGGGATCTATCATATTTAAGCTAGTTGGGTGCCCTGTAATAAAGAAGTTCTTTGCTTTTCGTTTTAGATAGAGTTGACAACTGATTATTATCATCGACTTTCTTATTAAGAATTTATCACAAAACGAAGCAAGTTATCAGTCAACGAGTTTGAATACATTACAACGCTTCCCAGCTTCGCATCTATCTAATATATATCTAATATATATACTGTAAAACATTCAAAAAAAGTAGACAAGCCAATCATATCCTTTTAAAATTTAATAGTATTAAAAGCCAGAACAAACGAGGGCATAACCACCGGCGAAGCCGGCAATGGGGAGGGGGTTTGGGGGAGGGGGCTTAGCCCCTCCACCAAGAATATAAGGCACCAAAAAAAAAATTTGATACATTGCTTTTTGTTATTATACGTACGTAATAATATGCCTCCTACTATTCAAACAAGACACTGCAC